CACCGGACACTGCGTTCTTGTTAGCCTCAAAAACAAGTGAGCCTGTATATAAGACTAGATAATTAACCTGTAATCCCAATGGCTCCACCCATATCCCGAACGAAATTGCGCAGACCGGTGATTACTGCCCGATCGACGTTGTCAGAGCCGGCAAGAAGGCCCACCATGACTGCAATATGTCAGTAATCAAAATTCATGAATGAGAACCGTGGAAAAGGAACAACAGAATGACTAACCCGGTTGCAAAGCACACCCGACGCCAATACCTTCGAAGATCCCTGCAACAAAGAAGAGATTGAATGAAGTCGTTTGTCCATAGGTCGTTTTTAGAATGGCTCCAATCGCCCACAGTCCTGCTCCGGAGCTGATAACGGGCTTATAGCAGCCGGCCAGAGACGTAACTACACCACTTAACCCCGAGGTTGCGCCATGTGCAATCACCATAGGCAAGATAAATGAGCCAGCCGTGGACGGGTTCAGGCGGCGCACCATTTGAAAATATAAAGGGAGGTAGAATAGATTGCCCCAGTATACCCAGCCAATAGGGATATTCACAGCCAGGAGAATATTAGTAGAGCGGTTGTATTGAAACAGGCGCACTGGGACCAAATTAGATGCGTCAAAGTATGCGTCGCTTATTAGTACGTACTCGGAAGAATAGGCAGCTTTACCAATCGCCATTCAATAAAGAGAAAGGCCGCAAGAAGTATAACGCCCGATATCAGCATACCGATAATCATCGGCGACATCCATTCTATAGCGGATCCTCCCTGGGAAATAGGGATCTGTGGGTACATAGCGTCAGATTCCCATCATAGGAGATACAAAACACTCTATATACTAACCAAGATGAGCACAACAGCTGTCATGCTTATTACAATTCCACCCCAGTCCAACATTCTGACTTTCGTTCCGATCTCGTCTGCGGCCGATGATCCGGGCAGCACTAGAGCCAGTAAACCCGCAGCAATAACCGCCAAAGGGCAGATAAACCAAAATGCCCATCTCCAAGAAGCATTTTCTGTCAAAACCCCACCAACGACTGGACCGAGCCCGTTACCCAACGCAACGGCAACACCCAGGATGCCGAAATAGTAACCTCGCTGGTCCAACCGGGTGATATCGGAGATGGTTATCTGAACCAGCGCATTTAAAGCCCCAGCCCCTAACCCACTGAAGGCTCGCGTGGCGTAGAGCTGCCCCGTCGTCTGAGAGCATCCCGACAGGAAGTTTCCTAAGCCCATTAGCGATAGCGCCGTAATCAGGCATGTTTTGCGACCGAATATATCCGACAGACGACCGTTCATCAGTTGGATGCTGGTGCTGGTTGTGAGAAAACTTGTGCCAGCCCAGGAAATCGAGGAGCCGGCATTAAGGGCGGATGCAATGGACGGTAGTGCTGTTGATATAGAAGTCTGGTCGATGAAGGAGGTGAAATGGACCAGAGCCAAGGCCGGGAAGACGACGAGAAGTCTGTTGCGGGGGAGGATATTTGACTGTCGGTCTTGGAAACTTCCTGCGATCAGAGGGGTTGCCTCTGTTGCGCGCACTTCATTTTGTGCCGGCATGTCTGCGTCTGCGACCATGTACGCTGTCTATGCAGCAAGAGAAGGCAAGGACATTCATTGATCAGCGAGCATGGTCAACTCTCAATTTAAAGTGGGGCAGCTTGGTTTCCTATAGGATTTGTATTTCCCCTGAATCTTCAGGCTAAAGCAAGCTGACCTGGACATGATCAGATCCAGCTAGTGGGAACAGATTCCACCATGACGAAGTTCAAGCTCCCGAATCTGACCTGATCTAGTGGAGATCGCCCGAGAACTGCAAGAGAATGTCTCCGTATGGTCTTTTTAAGCGGGATCGACCCATCTGCATTGCACTGGTTCCCCAGTCCCAATTCGCTAGGCGATAGGCTTACGGTGAAGCGGCTTTACGCTGTATTTACTAGTGTATTTTTATGGTGATTTTTTCTGTTGCTTTATGCTGCCATCAACTGGATACAAGTATAACATACGACCCGATGTACATCTAATAAATGAGCACCAAATTTATGAGGCGAAGCATCAGGATATTGTGGTCAACGGAGCAGAACCAAATGGCTGGGCATCCCAGCGCACCCTGCGCAGGTGTCGGTTTGGATCCTTCACCGCATTTCGGGCATGCAGCCATTGCCGATTACCAACGATAATAAGAGAGCCTCGGGGCATGCTCTCAGGAGTGAGATGCAGGATCTCCGCCTCGATCGCAGGTCCGCTTAAGACGTCCTTCAGCTCGGCAAGTGCAGATGCCGCCGCCTCCGTGAGCGGCGTAAAGATATCCTCCCGAAAGCGCATTACCCACTCGCCGTCATCAATGGACAAAATACTCCCGACAATCTGGCCGTCATTTTCGGCTTTGATGAACTCAGGGGGTACGTTGATGCTGAACTCGGACTGGCAGAGCGCGGACCGGGATGATTCAGACAAATGAGCAACAATTTTCTCGACTTTCAGGATCGAAAGCGTGCCGCCACCACAACAATCTGGTTCTAACACTTGAAGGCCAAAATATCGCGGAGGTGATGACTCGTAGCTGCAGTCCGTATGCCACGGGAAGTGGTTTGCTGTTTCTGACCGTGCTTGGTGCAGGGCCTCCGGAGATTTGGCCATGGGCCGAATGTCCCAAAACCAGCCACGCGACGCACTGTGATCGATTGGGAGGCCGTGTCCATGGCGTTGATTAAGGTTCAGGATCACTTGTTCGAGATAGCGGCAGTCGTCATCCTCAAATCCTAGCTTGATTTTAACGACAGCTGCGCTTTTCAAATGCGCCTGAATGGCGTTGAAATGGTCATCTTGATGCGAAGAGTCCACGCTGCGAGCTTCTAGCACGGGAACCTCCTCGAAATGACGCGAATCCTTGCAGAGGCTCTTAATACGGGACATCTGGAGATGCTTCAAATGTCGATATCAGCTTCGATCTGTATGCCAGTCTCTGAAATTCAGAGACAATGTGTGTGTAGAAGAAATTTTTTTGACTGAAGGAACAATAGCGGTCAGAACTACTGGCATGCCAGACTTGCACAGGGAGTGCCTTGTCCGAACAGCTTGCATATCATTTAATACAGCAGGCTGAACGCAGTACGGAGAATACAGAGTAGCAGCCCCAATCCTCTCAGTGGGGACGGTTGTAGCAGTACATAAAACAGATCATAATGCAGCCGAACCCACGGGCGCATTGCCCAACCAAAAAGGCCACTTGTACTATCCTGGTTCCGTGAATTAATGGTATCGCCGATCCGAGACAGGTCACCCAGGTCAACTATTTCCCTTCTCGGCTCACTGCGGGGATTTCGCGTGGCTGGCTGGCTGACTGTTTTCATGCCAACTATTTGTCACCAAAACAGTGAATATGTTGGAAGGAAAACAGAAAGTTTATCGTCGTATAGATTCCACGCCTTGAAAAGGGGACATTAGCATTAGCCTGGTAAAGTTCACAAATACAAGTAGCGTACACCAGACAACGAATTAGCATAAATAGTTCTGAACTAGTTACAATACGTCATTTACCAATACAGTTGATACATACAACCAGGCACTCTGCATGAATTTATTACGAGACTTGTAACAATCAACTTGAGGTGGCTGGTCCCAATATTATTGAAATTTGGAGGGTCTGGAGGGTGGGTCAGCACCAAAGTAGAGGATTTGGCTCGCAATAAGCCTAAGAACCGACGGCACAGGCTGAATCATGCGGCCAATAAGGCAAAGCGGTTCACACTGAGCTCCATGCTGGATGACCTAGATGAGGCATCAGAGCTAACTGCTAGTGCATTCCATGATGGATTTGAATTATATCGGGGAACACATCTACCCGAAGACACATTAGCCCCCGGTGACTGGGCGGCCTTTTTCTTTCTCAGACTTTCACCACGGGGATACCCCGGATTGCGCCTCTTTTAGAATCGCTTACTCCTATTCAGTCACGAGAAGGGTCTCGAAATACGACATTCGCATGGTTTCTTCTGCTCACTAAACGGCTGCCCTTCCCCGATTTGATGTCGAGGTTATCTGCACCCCAGATGACGCCGGGGAAGAAGACAAACTCGAAGTGCTCCATACCCCTGTCTCCGTTCTGTCACATTTCAATCTCCAATGATCTTCAGTCGCCGGGTGACGCGATTTCGAACGACCACACTATTGCTGAATACGTGGTTTCCCTTATCAGTGACATCCGGGGTGCGATGACCCAACAATATGACTTTGATGGCAGACTGCTGACCTACCGTTCCTACGAGAGCGGGCCATTCCTTGCCGCCAGAACCACGGAGCTACTTTAAAACATGGAGTTACCGGGCGCTGCTTCCAATCTTGAGTCCCTGCAGTCCCAAGAGTCCGTGGAAAATGATTTCCATTCATTTACAATGCCGCATGCAACATGGCGTTTAGATTTCACAAAGCGAAGTATGAGACTGAGACTGCGGAAGCTGTCTAGACTTCCTTCGGTCCCCCCTTCTTCTTCTGTATTTAGATGTGAGGCGTTCTTGCATCAAAAAAATTGAATATAGAACGGATAGTTTCTGTCACTCCGGGACTTGCTCTTTCCGTTTTCAGGGATGATGAAATTTGAATGAATTCTTGCACAATCTCACCGTCTACTTATCCAAAAGGGAAACTGCGGCTTTAATCGGTTCAACACACCGGTAGACCCAACCCAGCTATCCCTTGTTCCGCAGGCGAAGCCATAGAAGGTGACTTATTTGACAGCGGTGTTCTTACAAATCCGACGGCGTAAACCTGAGATCACCGTGGTTCCATGACAACCACAAAGTAAGACCAGGGGTTCCAACAAGCCTGACATATGGGTTCGGGAGAGAGAAGATGTTGCGTATCATGACATATACATTGATGGAATTATGTACACAGTGGCTCCAGCTCCTGGGCCTATCCAAAAAAAATTCCAGCAAGGTATGGTTTGAGATAAAATATTCTACTACGCTCACGGACTGTGACAAGGTGCTTTCAGTCATCTTCGACCTTGATCGCTTTCTCCGGGGTCTTGCCGGTGAGTTCATCTTGCATGGCCTTACGCGCCCACACTCGTCGCCTGTAGAACAAAATGAGTCAGATGTGTCGGACAATGGATCACAAGAGAGACTCACACTCTTTGATAGATGTGGAAATGCGGGTTCTTGAGCTCGGTGCGCAGCTTAGCATTATAGACCTGAACGTCCTCCTTCGTCCAGGGCTTGGGAGTTCCAAATTTCGTCAGCAGCCACATGCACCATCCCTCCATACCAGAAAGCCAGTGCTGGTAGTTGACGATACCAGCCTCCTTGTACTTCTGATCGCGGGCCCAGGGACCAATAGGCCACTTGTAAGACTGCTCTTGAATATCGACAAAGCCAGCCTTGTGAATGCTCTCCTGCATGGTGTCGATGCTGTCAAGATCCCGCCCTGCGCGCTTACCGCAGTCTGAGACGTTAGGGCCCCAAGTGCAGAGAACATTGTCAGATGGCAAGCTTCCGTCGTCGCATTCAATGTACGGACTAGCTTCGATTTGTTCGATCCAGGCGCCTGGGCGGAGGTTGCTTGATGCGTGTTAAATAAAGGGAGTTTAGTATGCGATTTGAAACTAACTTGTAGCATGCCTTGTAGACTCGATCCCATTCTGCGGAGTCGAAGGAGCCGGTCATAATCCGCATGTGGATCAAGTCGAAGGGCTCTCGCCATGTCCATTCATTAAGGATGTTGTCGACTTCCAGCACACAGTTCGGTGGCATCCAAGTGACGGGAGGCGGGAAGAGGTCGACACCGCGAACGGTCGCTAAAGCTTGTCAATCCAACAGTGCACCGTTTGTGGGGCACAGAATCTCACCATCAGGAAACATATCCGCGACATCGCTAAGTTTGGTCAGCAGGGCTCGGTAGGGGCGTTTATTTTCACATACATGGCCCAGTTACCCTTGCCCGTTCCAATATCGAGGACGTGCTTGGGCTGAGATCCTACGGGCGATCGAAACAGTGGATTCTCCTTATCCGAGTCTAACACCATCGCGACCAAATGACTAGAACAAGTAAGCCTATGTAATTGAAGCATCTGCGGTGATCGCGTTCCGATTTGAGTGTTTTGCACTCTCGCGCGCGTCGTACCCAGCCTCGTAAGTCTCGAACATTTGATCGTCGGAGGGAACGCTGTTTCAGTCGGTTCAGTCCACCATAGTCTGCCAACTGATCTGTCTCGAGTGCTCACAGATATTCCTTCTCACTGAGAGTTTGATACCTGCAGAAGTACCATGAGCTGGGGCTACCCGTTGAAGGAAGAGACTATTACCGTCGGCCATTTTCCATCAGACCTCGATAGATCGAAGAGCCGATCGAAGTGGTTTCCCTGGACTCCTTTCAGCGATTTGAACTACATGAATCGAGTCAGTAACCTTACGATTGCCAGTCATCTGGGTAATAGGTCGGTTGACTGGAATATAAGTCCGGATCCTGCTGGTTGTCAGAACGAAGCGGAAGAGAGTCCGGGGAGACCAACGGGCGCAATCGAATCGTCGACCATGGTGAACGGACGTTGAGACCGCTGTCTCCTGTGGTTGAGATGAGTCTGGAGATGAAGCAAAAAGGCCACCCAACGGGCTTAAAACCGAAACCAGAGTCGCAATTTTTCCACGGTGGGCGCATGGCCCCTCACCCTGACAGCAGTGGTGATTGGGCGTTGAATGGCGGCGGGCTGCATGACGGGATCCTATCTGGCTCCCGCGCTTCAGAACAGTCGGTTGCTATGCCCAACAGGGTAGTGTGGGCTAACGGCTTTCTGTAAGTCGCTGATCAAGTGGATCGCGGGCCGATAAACGTAAACATCCCCGCCCCCGGCTAGAATGGCTCTATCTGGGAAGAGCCCGCTTTGGTGGGTACATCGGTTTTAAAAAGGGGATGTGCCCCTGAGCCATTCAATCCTGCTCTATTCCCATTTGAAGCCAAAAAGCAAACGAGACTGCTTGACTGAAGCAATGAAGATGGCCAAATTTATGCGTACGCTGTAAATCGTCACCCGCGCCTCCCTCGTCCGAGCCATCTACAAGGGGCTCGTCATTAAGGCAGCGGGATAAAAGCCATCTGCGAACTGGCCGTTGAGTTCGGCGTCCCCAATCTTAAAGTGGCCCACTACCAGTACCACCAGCATTTTTCCTTTTCCTGTCTTTCTTTTCTCCCGTCGCCAGTCATTGTTCTTTAATCTTTCTTTCGAAGACTAAACTGGAAGTCTGTAAGATCATACGATATCTTACAATATGTCCCGTGCTCAGTCCTTGGCGGACCGTTGGGGAACTGCCTAAGGCTTGGCAGGCTACGGATGAAACAGTACACATGGGCAGGGCCGGGCACGTCACACTCTATAGTATAGCTCGTTGCATTAATGCACGGAGCGAGTAACGGTTGACCCACATGTATGCGGAGCAATCATTTTCCAGCTTAGCAGCGTAACGAGGTCAAAGTGTAACAGGAATTTCATCCCCAAAATTGTCTTGAGTACTGCCGATGCACGGAGTCGAATGCTTTAAGCGAAAGGAACTATTCTAATATTGTAAAATAGCTGATTGACTTTCTATCTTCCTTCCTTACCGCACAACATATATAACTCCACCTTTATCACTGTGAAAAGCGAATTTACTTTACACAACGGCGGGGCTTAGCCGCGGTCCATAGCTTTAGATTCATTAGCTCATTAGCAACATGTCTCACAATGACGCAAGCGGTAATAGAACAGAATATAGGACAACCCTTATTTGATTTTGGTCCCTAGCACCAGGCTGTCTTTCTGACTAGGTGACCAGCTCAGTCTGTTAATCACCGTTTTGTCTTCCCTACAACGCGTGCAAGTTCACTAAATTGTTCTGGCTTTAGCCCAGGTGTCAAAAGTAAACCCGGGCACGGGGGTAAGTAAACTAAACTTAAGAATGTTGAAAGTAAAAGAATAGTTGGTCATAGCCTCACCTCATGCGAGTGAGCAGATCCTATTTCCGAAAAGGACCCAACATGAACTAAAGATATCATGACAGATAAAGTGGCGGTTTCGATATACCATTTGTGTGAGGTAGATCTGATTTGACGTCTAGAGCCTCGTCTTGAACTTAATTCCAACCCGCAGGTAGTCGGATGAATTCTCATTTCTTCAAACCTCTCAAGATTCACCTGGCACGGACTCGGGTCCGCTCAGCCTCTAGGGAACAAACAAGCCTAGGGAAGCATACTTCGCTAATTGGTATTGTTGTGTTGAATGTTGTGTAGATTGGAAAGCCAAGCCTCCCATGCACCAAGTTAACTCACCCGGCTTCATTTGACCGGTGGATACGCGGGCCGTGACTCTGGGGCTTTGATGCGGGGTTGCGGGGTCAAGAATCGTTTACGAAATGCGGAAAGATCCCACGCTAATCTGAACTTGATCGCCTACGACTCTGAAGCTATTTTAGCTCACTTGCTTCGGTTTTCCCCTACCCCTTCTCCCACAAACATCCATCATGGCCAAACGCAGCGACGGCAATGTTCACGCGCTCGAGCATCGCGAGGCGAAGCCATCTCAGGGAGACCCATCACGACCCGTATCAGAGCTCTTTCGTCTGGACCAACGAACTGTTATAAGTAAAAATCGAGTCATTACTTCGGTCATGTTCGCTAGTTAAGTCAGGTTTCTAGTCACCGGCGCGACAGGATTTCTTGGAACAACCCTTGCAATTGCCATATTCGAGAGTGGCGCCGATGTAGTTTGCCTCGATCTTGCCGATACTGCAACAGCTTCAAACTGGGGTCAGTATCTATATTCGTTTCTTTACCGGTTAGCATACTAATCAGAAATGGTCTCCCAACAGGCGAAGTCCAAGCAGCTGCAAAGAAAACTGAACGTCAGCTCTCATACTACCAGCTCGATGTCACCGATGAGAACGCCATCCTTGCAACATTTGCCAAGTTCATTCCCACACTCAGATACCCCTTGAAGGGACTCGTCGCCTGTGCAGGGTTATCTCGAAATGGCCCATCAACTGAATTCTCAGCCTCTTCCTTCCGCCGAGTCCTCGACATCAACGTGACCGGAACATTTCTCATTGCACAAGCAACTGTCAAAGAGATGCTAAAGGCAAATACTACCGGGAGCATGGTCTTCGTTGCCAGCATGAGTGGATATGTCTCCAACAAGGGCGTAGATACTGCTGGATATAATGCATCGAAAGCCGCCGTTCACCAGCTAACACGCTCTTTGGCCGCCGAATGGGGATCTCGTGTTGGAATGCCGCTCATCCGAGTCAATTCACTCTCTCCTGGGTATATTCGTACTGCAGCGACCGCAGAGGCACTACAGAAGCCGGGTATGGAGAGTCAGTGGGTTGGCGATAATATGCTGTTTCGCCTTAGCACGGTGGACGAGTTTCGTGCTCCGGTACTCTTCATGTTGGGCGATGGTAGCAGCTTTATGACAGGCGCTGATTTGCGCGTGGATGGTGGACATTGTTCATGGTAGCCCGTACTGCGAGCCTGAACTTTTTGACAACGGACTCGAAGACATACTTTTTTTTATGTTTCTATGGTTAGATTCTGTCTGATAACGATCGACAGGGACCGTTACTATGGATTCACAGTGATTAAAAGGAGTTTCGTAGTACTGAGACTTCTCCAATAACCTTGTCTCAGAAACCTCTTGAAGGGGCGTTTGAACTATGTAGGGGGCTCCACTCGATGACCTATGTAGCTAATGGTCGTGCCAGTCAGTTTAGACTCTTTCCCGTACTTTTGCAGTGCCAAGACCCTCATTTTCCATAGGTCAAGGTTCAAACGGAGAATGTGAGGTGTTGCCGCCGCCACATTCGTGAAAATCTCCCGTTGTACAACTTGACAGGAGCTGTACTGATTGAACTGGAGTAAAGCACATGTGCGTTCGAGTAGAACATGACTCTGCATCTACAGATGGCTAGTTGGTTGCTGGCAAGCAGGTTTCTAGCACACATTTCCCTATTCTATCCACTTGCCACAATCGGGATTTGATATAACGATAATCTTCGGTCGGTCGGTCGCCTTCGCACCACAGGCTAAGATGTCGAGACGTAAAAATGTTGCAGTTGAAGGTGGCGCATTCCATTTGTGGTTATTGGTCGGGTGGTTTATCCGCAACATTGGTAGGACCATGGCTGATATTTCCAGCCAATGAAAGCTTGCAAATAATGCTGAACCGATAGTCGTTTTTGCATGCGTTGAGCAATGGCAGGTGCTTGCAAAACTATATTTGATGTGTCGTATTCTTCCACTTCTTTCGTCTCCACGTTGCCGGATGTCTAACTCCTGTTTTGGGTGACTACAAGGGCAAGCGCAGAAGGCGAAACATACTTTAAACTTTTCAAGGAAAAATGTATAGGGTGAACCAAAGGCAACAGGAAGCCTATCACAAGAGCAAAAGGTCACGAGCAAAAAGCACAGAGGCCACTAGTTAAAGCTTCACGACCGTACCTGATAAATCAGGCACCGATCGCTCCATATTTCCCGATCTAATTTAGAATAATGTTCCCCGAGGAATTGCATGGCAGTCGCATTCCCAAAGAAGCCCATTTTTCGTCCTGTAACAACTATCTATCGATTAGTTACTAATTAGGTATATGCTAGCGAGAGGCGGATGATATCGAAATATCAAGACTAGCCCGGCAGCGATACCGCTCGTGGCGCCTATCCGGGTGGAAGGCCGAAGGGGTTTTGTTCTAGACCCGTGTCTAATGCGGACATTATGTTCATCCCGTCATGAATACCGGACCCATGAATACCGGACCCTATTATTTCCAAATACAAAAATTTTTACCGTATATTAATCGACAGGTATACCCCCTTCAATCCAAATCGAAAATACTATGACTATCAGTAGTCTTTGCTACCAATATTTTAAGCGTGGCGTGGCATGGGTACTCATTTCCTCGATCTGACTACGTAGAAAAATTGCGAGCTATTAGCGTTTCAGGCGGTACACTAGATGTACTCTTCGCCCTATGATAGTTAACTTTGAGGCGAAAACAATCGCCGGAAATAGCAAGACATCCTACCATTTCTCTCGCCTGGTGCCCTGGCTCATTGACACTCGAGTAGCTAAACAGATATATCCTCGCCTTCTCCTGCATCGTAAGCATAGCAGAGAATCGTTGATCATCAAGGAATATCTTATTTCTGATTACGTCACGGAATTCTTGGTATGAAAGGTCCCTTCGGGTTTAAGAGTGAGCGGTTCGCATTCTTTTTCGGTATGATTTAGCTATCAATTCTCCTCTTCATGATCTTCCCAGCAGCTTGACATTGTCTTAGAACATTGGTTGTGGGTCAGCATTGATTTTTTACACCACTGCAAAGAATGAGTCCCCATGAAGCAGATCCACACAATCTGGCAACCAGGTCTTACAGGGCCTCCGACTCTGGTGAACCTCCCTATGACTTTACCACGCTGCCACCGAACTCAGACCAGAGCGGCCCTGAAAACGTTCATTCAAGGCGGGGGAGCTTGAATGTTCCAGATTTACAGCAGAGTCAGAGTCTGCCTTCCATCAATTCAATCCTTCACGGGGAACTCACACAAGTTTCCTCGACACAGCAGCCTACTCGCCACTCTCATGAGCTTCCGATACAGAGGATGTCTTTTCCCCTTTGTCAAGCCGCCTTGTCTCAATTCTGGGGTCACCAATCAGTCCCTACAGGGAGCGTCTGGTCGCAAGCGTAAGTTTGACAAGCTCAAATTCCTCTCTCAAATGCCCCTCCGTTACTACAGACACCTTCCAAATATCTATCTCCGTTCTCGCTAAGATCCACGTTACAGTCATCAATTTCAAATACCAAACTGGCATGGACGCACAGAGCATTCCCCGATGATATCTGAGTCCAACTCGGCAAATGAAATGCTTGACATCCCCCAAGTCAATGTACTCAGATGTGAATATCTTGATCCCTTAACAGGCCACGCATGTACCTCCTCTTTCTCTCGTCATGACTGCCTGCTTCGTCACAAAAGAACTGTGCACACCCCGGGCAAGGAAAAGTGGCAGTGTCGTCTGTGCGACGGGCATCGAAGTTTCACACGACATGACTCGTTGGCCAGACATATGCGCCAGATACATGGGGTTTTGAATTTTCCTGGAAAGCAGCGTTCAAGTATATAGTCTATGGTTGGATTCAAAGCAAGCGATAATAATAGTCTTAAGGATACAAATCAAATAACCATGTCGTGTTGAGAATAACACGAGTATATGTTCATGAGTGAAGACTTCTTCGTCAATGAGTAATATGGTGTTCCGATGTTTGTTCCTATCAAAGCTGGAGCCCGTAAAAACTAGCTACGTTCATATCATAGCGAGAAATCATTCTCTCTCAATGTTGGGAAAGATCACCAGAGGCTTGCTAATAGTTTATTCCAGCATGAAATTCTGAGTCCATGAGGGTTCAAACATTGAACGTCACCTCCAGCGCATTTTTCGCCAAGAAGACCTGGCGTGACCTTTCCATGTCGATAAAACCACTTCCGTAGCCTTCACCATCGCCCTTTCTACCATTCCCCTCGTTCTTATAGACAACTGTTTCGTCACTTTGCAGACACTGTACCCGCCTTCTGTGAGGAGGGTAGCAATGGCTTGTCACAAGAGCGAAAGTTACGACGTAGAACTACTTGATGAATGGAAGTTAAAAATTTTTGGCATTCTATGTTCACAGAAACCATCGTTAGCAAAATTCACACGCAATTGCGTTTACTATTGTGTAGATCATACCCAAGCCTCGTCATGGATTATGAGCACCAAGTCCTCCTCGAGCTCTCCCACGGATCAAAAAATACCTCATGGATAGTTTGCCTTGGAGAAACGCTGGTAGTGGGTACTGGAAGAAATCGTTCAATAAAACGCGGCATTCTTATCGTACTATGAAGAATTCATACTCTGCGCCAACCCAATAGGGCTTAATTATAGTTCTCGAAAGCTCCCAGTGCTTATAATCTTCCATTCTTGAGATATAACATGAAAATGGCTTTGCTGATCATAGATTAAGTTCGGGAATGCGAGCTCCTGGCTATTGCCCTGCGTTAAGCTTGGGACGTCTCGCCTGCTCTAAACCCAAACCTTAAAGCGTCCGGAAACAAGTACACCTGGAACTGGTGGTGGTAGATATCTAGCGTAACATCAATAATAAAACCTATCCATTCAAGATCACTGGAATTAGGCGCGAGTTACTAAACGAGACGGGAAGCCCAGCCAATAGTCCCGGCTTCTTCAAAAAAGGCAGGTCCTCGAGCCTCGTAGACAGATTTGATGACCACAACTGCCCCTTGCGTAGAATTGACAGGCAGCCTCCTTGATTCAAAGCTATTGGAATAAACAAAGCCTTCCGAGGAGAATTCCAAGCCCTACAGGGCTTAAACGTGTACTTACCATGGGTGCGGTAAATAGGGCCGAAGGACCCTGTAGGTCACCAATCTCCTTGGCAAGATGTATTAAAATGTGAGAACCATTAGTACGGGAATGTGGAGAAAAATATAGAGCTCTCTGAATTCCTTTTCAAGGCAACGGTTTGGTTCCATTACCACGAGACATCAGGCAGGGGTGTAGTCGCAGTTGAGATACCCGATTGGTGAATGTATCTTCAATCCAATCATGTCTCACCCTGTAAGCGGAAATATGCTCCCCCATTTCTCTAGCCCCTTACAGGGTAGCATTGAAAAGGTACAGATTGAAAACGTGATCAATGGAATGAAACCCCAAATTTACTTTTCCTAGTGAGTTTTGAAGGCGGGTGTACTTTTGTACTTTAACATTCCTATTTTCAACAAGATGGGAAATTTTCGGACTAGAAACGGCGAACTGAACTCTCTGGTTGAAAATGCTTGGCGAGGACGCTTTGATTCCACGGCTGACGTGTTGAAGCGGGCTGAAAATCGCAATTATGGTCAAGATGGCCGAAAACTATCCGAATGTCACTTGACTAATGCGGATTTGCGTCCTAGTCCTTCTTGGCGAGAAAATCGAGTTAAACAGTACGGTGCTGGGCTTCTTACATGGCATGATTATGAAACGTTGCTCAGCTTTTGACCAGGGCGTGCCCTCTACTCTCTTCATAATGATCAACAGATCAAGTGATAATGCTATTAGAATTTCTAATTTGCATAATGCTACAATTGTCCTGTTGTAGAATATATCATCTTCAAGGCCTCGTACCTAAGCCTCTAGCGTCTTCCGCAGAGCCTAAACGATGCTATCGCAGATGAATCTTGCTTAATTGTTATCGATGCTGCAACCGAGTGTTGCATTGAGAGAGAATACGGTCTGTTTGAACGGTGATCACCATTTCAAGGACCGGTGAATTGTACGAAAGTGAATTCGTGGAAACTAAACTCATGTATGTTTTCTCAATGACTTATGGTCCAGTTGCGGTAGAAGCGTTTGTGTTGTTCCAAAAATACTAGGGTCGCAATTGTTTGAGGACCTAGACGAACAAAACTAGGCGTCCATCCTCGGAATACCCACCGAATACCTTCAGCAGCGAACAACTCTCGGACAATGGTCAAAACTGAAAGTTTTTTCGCAGAGCTCATCAACTGAGTCCTAATTACGTCCATAGGGTTTGATACCGTAGTTGCTACCAGACTAGCTAGTAATGAAGCAGAGAAATGGATCAAGGGCTTCTCCTCGCTTGTGTCACCGACTCGCTGGAGGAGTCGCTTGAAAGCGTCATAGGATGCCAGTTGACTTGCTGTCATGATTCCCGAACGGAAACAGTTAGGCCAGATACCTTGTACAAAAGCTCTCCAGCCTTCATGTTGCTTCATTTGATACCACGCATCAAATACGTTCTTGTAGTTGCGACGATATTGTATAGGCAAGGACTTATCATTTTGCATCCGGATATTTGCAATATCGGATGGTGTGCCAAGAATGGCGCCAATGAAGCCTGAAACAGCAGCCATAGATCCCAGCGCCAGAACAGAGAGAGACTTGTCGGAAGTAGTTGTCGACTTTTTCAGCTCTTCGTAAATGGCAATTCGGGCGGTGCCGTAGGTTACTAGAAATCATCAGATATCTAATCGGAGCATTTGTTATTGACACACGAACATGATCTCATAAATCCTGCAGAAATACCCTGGTAAAGCCCATTCAACCCTTCACTTTGAACAATGAGGATTCCGGTTCGGATTGACCCTTGTTTAGCGCCATTTGACACTGTTTGCATCCGCACTTTGACTGTTCGGCATATCTGTTAGATCCTTGTCTTGACCCGTGTCTTCAAAGCACCTTACTGAGATCAAAGGGATGGGAAACAGCTACAGCCATACATGAGGCGGAGCCTCCAAACCATCTGGGGTACCGGAAGTCTGTCGGGTCCTTTTGTCCTGGATCAACATGACGAACTGGCAACGACGACAGCTTACTTTCTGCCATGTTGTGTGGTGCTCAAGGATGGATTTTCGGCGTCTTTAAGATTCTTAAGAGCTAATTGTAGGATGGCGGCTACCACTCATGTAACCGACGCCTGCTTCTTTTCGCAGACAAATGACCTCGGGATAGCCTTTTAACCGAGATTCTTGCAGAGATTCGAGAAAGACCAGAAACGTAAGGAAGTTATCCTCATTATTGGGATAGAAATTACTAAAATCACTCCAGAGGGATTCTTACAGATAAGAATAAAGGTTGGCTCTCCATTCAATATATTTGTGACCCCTTCTCTTCCAGGCGGATGGTGCCAAGACGCCTGTATGCTTCCCGCTGGCCCCGCCTTCTTGACCGTCTGCTGCGTCATTTAGCCGAGCAACTACCCCCTCGTTATTTATGAATATCGGACAAGTCCTTGGGGAAAATCAAGTGTCCTGTGTTTTTATACCGCTTCAAAGAAGGATTGTCTGAAATATTTCAAATCTCTGATTAAGCATGGCTGTGTATGGCCTGGCGACGCAAGTGAATGCTTTCACTGTGTTTCTTCAAGACTAATATTATCGGATACTCAGAGACTCCAGAATCACACTTGGTCCCGGAAGCCACGCTTTGGGAAGCATCCCACTCTCCGTTGACACAGCGCTGGAATGCAGTACCGCCATTGCAGTGACAATAGTCTTCCTGGCTACAAGATTCGCTCAGAACCCCGGAGGCAGCAGGGGAGGTGCTAGAGGTGCTGGTAGCGGCAGTACTTCTGGCGGGTTTGCTTGATTGGCCCTGATCAATTTGTCCGTTGGGGGCTTGGACATTTCCAGGGGCAGCTCCGTTAGCCTGAGCATGCGGTGTGAAGACCGCTGTTGTCTTAGATGAAGCAGACGCCTCAGTGGCAGATATCTCAGCAGTACTTGTCTTAGGCACGCTCGTGACAGTCGCAGCAGTCGCAGCAGTCGCGGTAGTGGCGGTTGTGGAAGCGACTGTCGAGGTAGCAGTGGAAACGCTGCCGGCAGTGTGGAGAGCGGGACCCAGGATAGTATAAGTGCTGACGGTTTGCCAGATGTTCACGTAGGTGCCGGGATCAGTATCCTTGTACAAACTTTCTCCCAGAGTGCCGCTTTGAGATGCTTGACCGAGCCACCGGGCTTCATAGGGGCTGAGAGAGCTCCTGGAGCAGAGTCGTGGTGACAAACGATATCAAAGTGTTATATGCAGTAGGAGCAACGTAATAATCGTCCGTGGAATTGGTCGACCAAGGCATCAGCTCTGGTGGATCAGACTCATAGTAGTAGGTATCAACAAGGTAGCCACCGTATGTTTTACCGTCCACTTCAATACTACTAACATATCCGTGGGTTGCGACCAGCGCAGCCAATTCCAGTAGAAAATGTGCAGTCTTAGAAATATACATGTCGTAGTGTGTTCACAGGTCACGCGAAGCGAAGCACAGTAAACAAAAGAGGGGAAGAATACTTCGCTCAACGAAGTTCATCAAATGGAAAAGAATGGAATAATGAGCAGTAGAAGAGAGAAAGTTTTCTGCTTGGTTCAAGTCAGCCCAAGGAACTGCATGCCTTAATTAAAATTCCGAGGAATTCTCTCTTTGGAAATTGCACAAAACTCATGGTACCTGAGCCTCAATGATAGTTCGATAAACGAAGGTTCAAGTGTTTCATATCTGTGGATAGACTGGAGCCACCATCACGTCCAAGAGTCATGTCGACAAATATGTTGCCGACGATAAGCATTCAAATGGACCCTTCATTTCAACCACTATCTCAAATTTTGCTATGTTTTACTTGTTCAAGCGAACATGGTTGCTTAGAGGTGCCTCAACATGAATTGACTAAGCTCAGCTCCGTTGGATCCTGGACACGCAAACAAAAAGCCCCGTATCTCCTTACAAAATACTTTGAACAGTTCTTCCGCAATTTTAAGGCGATTCTCAGCACATATCTACAAAGAGGTAGTGGCAGTGACTGGCTCCAATTCAAAGCAGTGAGTGTATGAAATTGAGCGGTGACGGGTAGTTCGTGTCAACTGCCGAAGGGTGAAACGCGCTAACATCTAAGCGAGATCAGAGATCAGGAACAGATCAGGAACTAGTATACGATCCACCCGTAATCTATGTCACATTTTCTGCTGTGACTGGTCTTTCATTACTTCCAAGCGCTAGGTTCGTTAATCTAAAAATCTAGGGTTGGCCGATTTTTTACCTTTTATTTGTATTCATAAAAGCCCCGGGCTAGGACTACCTGATAATATACACGTAGTTTCTGATGGCACTGGTCGCGTTTCAGTAACCATGATAGCTTCCCAATGAGGTCGAAAAATTTGCTCAGCATGCATTGTCTCCAGCCACAAAATGCTCTTGATGCGGGTCTGGACGTCAACGGATGTAAATAGTTGCAGAGAAGTCGAAATTTTGCGCGTTCTTTGCAAAAACCACTGGTAATGAGCTGTGCCAGCGGATGCCACCATTCCTACCGCGGCAAGCCAGATATCGAGGGAGCTGTATATCCGAGACGTTACGTCTAGGCGACTGAGATTCTCAATAAGGCTGATGACGACAGTGTTCAACATAATTGCGTGTGAGTAATATGTTGGCCCCTGTATAATGAACATGTAAATTAAGACTGCGCAGCGAATGCATTCCGAAATTGGTGATCGCTGAACATTCGCTGCGTCCAAGGGTAGATAGAGAAGTCGGTGTATGACGAATGATGTAAGGTCGTGAAGTTGTGTATTGGGAAATTGCATGTTTTGGATCCGTTGAAAGACATTTCGAAGGCGAATAAAAACGTTCCTCACATCATAGTCAACATCAAGGATGGTTTCTGGCAACTCATGAGTGGCGGCCGGGTCTAGTTGCCATTCCGGAATCGGAGGTATCCCATCTCCAATTCCGAAATCATCCTGTGTGTCAAATTGAGGATGGCCCATGATGAGCATCGAAACCCTAGACGCGTGAGCACGATTTTGTCTAGGCAACTAGGAGGTGGCTCACCAGCTGATCATTCTCGCTGTGAGGGGGCTGGTTTGTCGGACCGAGTTTATCCCACCCCGCATTTTAACTAGTCTTTTCACCCCGTCAACATGCATCTCGGCGACTTTATTGTTACCTTTGCCAAACTGTAGATTGAGGTCAGTGACTGGTTCAGAAACAGTGAGCAGGAGCCCAGATGACTCAAGAAAGGATCTTACTTCAATCGTGGCCAGGGTGATGACCGAGTTCATTGTTCCGTCTTGAACAGCTAGTGACGTGTTCCCAATTTTACGTCGTAATAAGGCCACCGAGTCAGCCATGAGGATCTCTGAGGATCTGAAGCCCTTCTGGGCCAGCAGCTCCTCGTCAAGACATGCTGTCTGCAATGAGACATGAAACAGTGCTGGATCTCCCAAGGCAAGAGGCCACCAGGACACGAGAAACGGATTTGTGGTTGCGTTTAGGTCGAGTGGATAATATTGGAAAGCAATCTTGTGGAGGACTGAAGTGGTTAGTTAATATCCGCTTGGCAACTTCTATTGAGGCCTACGTACAACTATGGATAAGGCGCTGAACCTGTTCCGGGGGGAGCCTCGTCTGGGGATACGAATCGAAGGGGTCGAGAGATCCCGATCTATAATTGGTCAAACAGCTGGATCCCTCCAGCGATCTCGTGGGCTCATTGGCATAGATGCATTGGGTTTTGCGCCTAATGCAACGAGCACATTGTGGCGTGTTCAGATTGCAGCTCTGTTTTGATTTAGAGCATGCAGTACAGGACCGGCGAAGGGTTTGGCGCATCTTGGAAGAAAGGAAACAAGTAGAGAAGCCGAAGCCGCAAGTTAGTGGAGACTTGACCCGGCGAACCCGAGGGCGGTGAACAGTGTGCCCCTGGGGGAAACTGAATCTAGTGAAGCTAGGCCCGAACAAGCCTAGACGCCGCGGTCTCGATTCCACCTAGTCCCAAATTGGGTGGTTAATATAGCATCACGCAACATAGAGAGGAGAGGATTGGGGCAGTCAATATAATATTTGAGGCTTTGTTTCCTCAAAATTTCCTGGACTCTGCTGAAAAGACTTCTCTTCCCATAAGGTCGACACAATGGCATCTGAAATCGTCAACATCTCCAGCGCTTGGCCTGAGTCACCACAAACACGACATCTTGACACTTCTCGATTGGAAATCACTCTTCCAGACTTACTTACGGGATGGTCTCCCTGGCAGTATATCGTAGCCTTTCTGGTCGGCCTCATCGTCTATGATCAAAGTAAGTATGGGCTTCAATTCCATGGGAGAAATCAGCTCACCCCCTCTCTAGTCATCTACCTCAAACGAAAGGGTTCGATCGCTGGTCCTACATTCAAAATCCCCCTCATAGGGCCATTCATCCAAGCACTTCATCCGGAATTTGAGTCATACCTCGCACAGTGGGCGAGTGGACCCCTCAGTTGTGTATCAGTTTTCCACAAGTATGTATTCTCATCATGAGCAGAAAACATATTGAGCTGACCACACGATTCTCATCAGGTTTGTGGTCCTCGCTTCCGATCGAGACATAGCCCATAAAGTTTTCAAGTCTCCCACCTACACCGAGCCATGTATCGTCCCGATCGCAAGAGACATTCTGGGCGAAAAAGCTTGGGTTTTCCTCCAAGGCAAAGCCCACACTGAGTATAGGAGAGGACTCACGCCTCTCTTCACCAATCGAGCTCTTTCCAGCTATCTACCGGTTCAGGAAAAAGTGTTCACTGACTATTTTGGAAAGTTTGTTGCGGCTAGTAAGGCGAATCAGGGCCGGTCAACAGAGTTTATGACGCTGTTCAGGGAAATCAACTGCGCCATCTCCTGTCGCACTTTCTTTGGAGACTACATCTCTCAGGACGCTGTCACGAAGATCACTGAAGATTTTTACGTGGCTACTGCTGCTCTTGAGCTCGTCAACATCCCCCTTTCGATATATATTCCGTTCACCAAATGTTGGCTGGGAAAGAGGGCGGCCGATGCAGTACACGTCGAATTCGCAAAATGTGCCGCGGTGTGCAAGGAGAGAATGGCACTAGGCTCAACACCTACATGTATTGTCGACCATTGGGTTCTTCATATGATGGAGTCAAATCGATATCGTGAGAGAATCACCGCGGGCGAAAAAGATGTCGAGAAACCATCCAATCTGATCAGAGAATTCTCAAATGAAGAGATCGGAGAGACATTGTTTACCTTTTTGTTTGCATCTCAAGATGCCTCCAGCAGTGCTACAACATGGCTATTCCAAGTCCTCGCCCAACGACCAGATGTACTCGATCGATTGCGGGAAGAGAACTTGGCTGCCCGAGGTGGTGACAAGTACAAGTCATTTGATTTGCCGATGCTTGAGTCGCTCACCTATACCAACGCTGTTATCAAAGAGATTCTTCGCCACAGACCACCAGTCATCTTTGTACCTTATCTTGCGACAAGGGATTTCCCTGTCACGCCCAACTACACCGTCTCCAAAGGGTCTATGATCATTCCATCCTGCTACCCAGCCCTACATGACCCGGAAGCCTACCCCAATCCAGATGTGTTCGATCCTGATAGGTGGATCTCTGGAGATGCCGAGGCCAAGACTAAAAATTGGCTTGTCTTCGGCGCCGGGGCCCATGACTGCCTCGCTAGGAGGTATGTGCCGCTATCGATGGCTGCTATGATAGGCAAAGCGGCGCTCGAACTTGACTGGGAGCACCATGCTACACCGCAGTCAGAAGAAATCAGAGTATTTGCCACACTCTTCCCAATGGTGAGAAATTCCTAGTGAATTACCATTTGTTTCCCTAACAAGCGACTTGCGCTAACTTTCATTAGGATGGATGCCAGCTGGTCTTCAAGAAGCGATTGTAATCATAACCTAGTATAAAAAGAGCCACTTCGATATCTCAGTGACCGTTATACAATTCTGTGTCCGAGACGAAGAGGTTTCTTCAACCATGTACCCTAATCAAATAAAGTGTTTCCAAGTACGATTATTTTCGTATTCAAAAATCTGCTCCGAGTTCCAAAGACCCAGCAAAAAGCGTACGAAGGCTATCAAGTTGTACTTTTATAGTGTCCGCCCTTCAGGAGGGTTAAATCGGACGTGTTGTTACGGTTCTGAGGTGGCTTCAGGGCCGGGCCATGCGCCAATCAGCCCCGCGAAAAATGCTCTCTCACTCTCACATTCCAACCTTTCAAGGTTCGCTATTGCTGCGCTCACATCTACCTAGTGACTAGAGCCAGGTCAAATATGAAGCATATGTTTTCTTTTTTTCAGCAGAATCCTCCAATCCCTTCAGGTTTCCGGTTGGGACTCCCAAATACCGCATACCGGTTTTCGCAGGGTATCTATATGCCGCGATCAGGGCGTTTACGTACTGGAAGGCGGTAATGGTCGACACTCTGAATCAGACTTGGACATTTGTCTATCGGAGTTCGAAGTACCTCTCGACCATTCATCATTTATTTATTTGGATGGTCTGGGCCTTTGCCGACGCCTACATGAAGGAGCCTTGACTTGAGCCGGCGTTCATTCAAGAGCGCAATCCCCCGCTTCAGCATTCCACTGGACTTAGCAAACACTTACCGTAATCCTCTTTTCTGGTACAATTGAAAGTGAAAAACTAGTCCATAAAGTTCCTCTGTGCGGTAAGCTTAACTAAATATATTATGGTTGATCAAATGGCCCAGGTCAGCAGTTCGCCATCGCATCAATTTACCGGAATCATTAGATAAATAAGCACCGAACCCACGTAAGATCAAGCACGACTCGTCTCCGCTGCTGGGTCTTCCCGTTCCCCGATGACATCCCCGATTGGTGAGTGCAAGAAGTGGCTACAGCTTCGGATTTCGAATCAGGTTGAAAGACCAATGAATGTATATAGGATGTGGGGCTGACAGTACGGAGCAGCAATGCTACGTATGTAGGGGCAGGATTGTGGGCCATCAGAGGCCATCGGAAGCAACAAATCAAATACCAGCCGTGTTTCACCTGTCCATGGCATATTAACCTTAGAAATGAATGCAGTGTTACACAAGCAACTGAAACAACTGAAATGAATCCGGCTTGCTTCATTAACTGGCATCTTCCCGATCGATGCATACCTGGTTCATGTGCCATGTAAAGCATTATGTCTCTCTCAGCGCTCAAGGTTGTGTTTGCTCTTTGCTTTTTGCATGCGCCTTTTACTCAAAGCCATAAAAACACCATTACTCGTGATGTTGCCATCATAGGCGGCGGGTCTGCGGGCACTTTTGCAGCCGTAAGACTTCGCGATGAGGGGAAATCAGTTGTTCTGGTCGAGAAAGAAAGTATTCTGGGCGGTCATACCAATACTTACAAGGATCCTGAGACCGGGGTAACGGTGGACTACGGTGTCGAAATATTCCACAACCAACAACTTGTCAAGGACTACTTCAATCGATTGAATGTATCATGGACCATCGAGGTTCCGAATTTCGGTTCATCTTCTCCACATTACTTGAATTCATCCGCCAATTCAATCATCTATGAGAGCCCGGATCCTAGGGAAGGACTGCTCGCATATGCGGAGCAACTAGCCAAGTATCCAAGCATCGAACGAGGATTCTTCCTTCCCGACCCGATCCCGGAAGATCTGTTATTGCCATTTGGCCAGTTCCTTGCCAAGTATCCCGGAATTGGGAACGCGGCCTACACTATCTTTCAATATGGCCAGGGTCTTGGCGACTTCCTCAATCAGCCCACACTATATGTGTTCAAGAACTTCGGACTGGACATTATCCAAGATATCTCGACTGGGTTCTTGGTGACAACAAGCTCGGACAATTACGAAATTTACGATCACGCGACGAAAGTCCTCGGGCCCGATGTACTTTTCAACGGCCAAGTGGTATCCACGCAACGCAGAGATGACCAGGCAATCGAGCTCGATATCGAAACACCTTTTGGCACTCAAGTCGTGGTAGCGAAAAAGTTGTTGATTGCCATTCCTCAGAAGCTCGATAACATGAACCATTTCGCGCTCGATACGCGCGAGGCTAATCTCTTTGGCAAGTTTGAGAACACTGGTTACTACACATCCTTGGTCAAGAATACCGGACTCCCAACAAACTTCACTTCCTACTCTGTGAGCTCTGGGACGCCATATAACCTTCCCACACTCCCCGGAATCTACTCCATCTTCGCGACGGCAATCGAGGATGTTTTCGATATCAAGTACGGTAGCCCGCATAGTGTACCAGACGACTTTGTTCAAAATGAGATTCTCTCGTACATCAAGAAGTTGCAGGCCAACGGGTACGCTGAGAAGGTATCTGGTGAACCAGAGTTTGTCGCATACAAGAGCCATGCTCCCTTCGAATTGACAGTGTCCCGAGATAGGATTGCGAAAGGGTTTTACAATGACCTTTACTCGTTGCAGGGCCATCGAAACACTTGGTACACTGGAGCTGCTTTCCACACGCAGGATTCATCGATGATTTGGAATTATACCGAATCTTACGTGTTGCCTGAATTGTTAAAATAACTATTAGCCTTATGCTTGGCGACTTGTATTAGTCTCGGAGACGAGCAAATGATTGCGATGCAATTACAAGGCCAGCCACCACACGAGCACTTCGAAACATCAAATCAAATTCACTTCTCCATTGTTTCTCTTCATCATTGTTTCCTCCAATTGTTTACCCTCATAATTTACGGAAATGGACGACTTTCCATGGGACTGGCGAACAACACGTGACCCGACGTCATAGACATCAATGGCCAAGAAGCCCAAGAAAGTGCCCAGACATTGGTGCCGATGAAGAGAATTTTTCAGCGGGCAGCTCAATTGCCTTCCTTCATATCTTCCATTATTGGAAATATTCTCTGCGGGGCCTTGTCATGGCAGGAGGCTTCCTTGCATACCACGAGCCTGGTAGTAAGTAATCGCCACTAGCGGAAGTAACGCCCAGGCTGACAGTGAATTACAGTCGTACAGATTTTAATAATCATTTCATTTTTCTTTTTCTTGTCATTAGCAGAGTGGTTCTCGGCGAAAATCATTCGTGCGGGCATTATTGGCCAAATTGCAGTTGGAATTATATACGGGAAACCATTAGCCGATATTCTTGAAGGCCCGTGGCAGGAAACATTCCTCGCGGTTGGATATGTTGGTTTGATTTTGATTATTTTTGAAGGTGAGTACGTTGGAACAAGTGAATCCAGGAAAGGGTGCTGACAAGGAATACAGGCGGCCTTCAAATACGGCTGGACCTCTTGAAGCAAAATTTCTTCTCCAGTGTGTTAGGAGCTGCGACGGGCGTCATATTGCCGATCGCCTTTTCTTATTTGCTACTCTATTTAGGATACGGATATGGTATGTGCAAATTCGATTCCACACTGTCACTTCTTGTTCTGACATCAATTAGGCGCTGTCGAGACATTCATTATCGGAGCTGCGCTCTCTGCCACCTCGTTAGGCACCACTTTCTCCGTTATATCCTCTGCTGCGAAAGAGGTCGACCTGTCTCAGACACGGGTTGGCTCAATTCTTGTGAGCGCGGCCGTGATTGACGATGTTGTTGGGCTTGTATTAGCCAGGTACGTATCTTTCTCTCCGTTTCCACTTCCTTGGAACTGACATAGAATTTAAGTGTTATCCATGATTTGGGTGAATTATCTGGCCCCGACTCGGGTCACACCAGCCTTGGTTGGATCATCGGTCGCCCGATCGTGGCATCAGTAGCTATGGCGATTCTAACGCCTATCCTCACGAAATGGGTATTCGCGCCCGTCTTTCGCCGCTGGATCGAGCATGCATTTGCCAAATATGATCACGTCTCCAATATCATTCTCATGGTCCTGGTTCTGTCGGCATTCATCAGCATTGCATCATATGCTGGAACATCTGTCCTATTTGGCGCCTTTCTCGCTGGCTCATTCCTCACTTATCTCCCCAGCAAGCATCCGGATGGTCCTTTCGTTGTCATGAGCCGCGAAGAAGGCGAGCAGGATCCCGATAGGAGTCCGACGTTCATTCACACATTTGAGTTATACCTATTGGATACACAGAAATATCTGATGGAGCCACTATTCTTCGCCAGCATTGGTTTTGCCATTCCTTTTGTGGGACTTTGGACTGGGAAGCGGATCTGGAGAGGCATTCTCTTCTCACTTCTAATGACAGTTGCCAAGGTGAGTGGCTCTTACCCTCAATCTCCCCTGAAGATATAGAGCTAATTCATCTCACAGTTTATCGTTGGAATATGGATTCCCATCTTCGAGTTCATCGGCTCCCGAAAGTCACCGAAGCCTCACAACCCCACGCCCAGCGAGAGTTCACATGAAACCCATGGAAAGAGAAACAGTTCCGACGCAACGAGCGATACTCCAGTAGCGCCAGAGAAAAAGGGCAACTACGGCTCAGCATCGCTTTCTGGGCTCCTTCTCGGTTCTGCAATGGTAGCACGAGGAGAGATCGGGTTACTGATTGTAGAAATCGGGTATAATGACACGAACTATGTGAGCACAGAAGGATTCATCACTGCTGTATGGGCCATTCTTCTCAACACCATCGTTGGCCCTGTCACAGTGGGCTACTTGGTCAAGTTCTACGGCAAGCGAATTGGAAAGAGTGCTTGGGGACTTCAAAAAACAGGAACGACCAGCCGACAAGAGACGGAGACGGCGGGCACAGTGAACAATCACCACGTCTAGAGGAACATGAATTGAGGAACTTGAATCAGAAAATTCACCTAGAATTGTCATGGTTTCAGCGGTTTTGTCCTGTTATGCGTAAGGTTCGTTTACTCTGTACATGCAAGGCAGATTCGTGAAGACTTCCAATCAACGTCTCCAGAACATAACCCCGATCGAAAGCCAGAGACAGATCATCATAAGTAAAGCCGAGTGGTCATGCACCCCAGACGCACTCGAAGTCTCGAAGGATCTCTTATGGTTGATCTTCGCATACTTATCTTGGCCATATGTGGCATTAAGCGTGACCGGTGCCGAGATGGTGCCGTCTTCCAAGCGAATCCAAGTCTTAATTTCATCATCCATAGTCTCCTGGTCCAAGAGAACCTGACGTCCACCACGGGTCGCGTCACCATAACCTCCATATCCAGTATGCCGACCGTAGCACATATTAATTCCATTTCCCTTCAGGTCCTGATCAACAGTGTGACCATCCCATTTGAAACACCTGTGCAAATTAGCAATTGGCCTGCAGAATCTACCCAGTGGGAACATACCAATCGTTCTTGTGGTCGTGACCACTGAAAGTCGCCATGAGACCGGTGGTATTCAGAAGAGCCTCCATGAATCGGCGGTCTTGTCCCGAGTAGTCGGTGTCCATGGAACCCTGTGAAACCACCGTTTCGCCATTTATTCCGGGGGTTCGTGAGGCGTCGAACCCGTCTTGTTGATATTTAAGCATGGCGTGGGAGGGGATATGGAAGAATGCCAGCGAAGGGATAGTATGGTCATATTCCGCTGACAAGTTCTTTTTGGCCTCCACGAACCAGTCGACAACCTGGGTTTCAGTCAGCTTGTGAAGATAAATATTTGGGTGGGACGTTCATACGGATGCATCCACCCAGTCGCCTCTATTCCCGGGGCTGACATCTTTATCGCGATTTGTGGCATAGCTTCCACCCTTTGAGTCGAAGAACCATAAAATGAGTGCCGGGGTGCTGCTCTCCGGGGCCTTGTGGGAATAGACCGGCAAATAATAATTCGTGATTCCAGCCTTGGGCGCAAAGACTTTTCTCTGAGTCAGGCTGTTGGGATATTTCTTCTCCTGATCAAAGACGTCCTGTCGGGGGGAGAGATTCGTATTCGAGTCGTGATTCCCATAGGTCGACGCCCATAATTTGCCTTTCTCGACCAAGGGAGACACGACGTCGTGGACGTATTCGCTAGAATTCGAAGCTTTCGTGAATTCGCCAGAGACCAAGTCTCCGTTTATCACTACAAAATCCGGCGATTCCTTTTCGAGGACATATCTCATCACACCCTTGGACTTGACATCCTTCGAGGCATCTGCATATGAACGTGGTCAGCATACTCGGCCCGAGTAGTGCAACCTGTGACCTGAGGCTTGAAAATACCTTCGGCGAAATGTAAATCCTCAAAGACAGAGATCTGAAAAGTGCCATCCTTGGAGAATCTGAGAGTCTGGTCGCTCACCTCCGCATGGCGATCTGGTGCCATGACGTACTGGTTTGGGGTTGAGCTTGACATGATGAAGGCTGGAGAGACTTGGTCTTATGAAGGTGAACGGTTGCAGATGCTTCTGTGGAAATTGAACTGCAGCTAAGTCACGCACGTCATGAAAAGAATCCAGGGCAGACATTCCCAAGCTAGGGGGTGCCAGTCGGGGTCTTTAAGTGGGCCAGGGCCGGAAATGAACACTCCCCGTCCGCCAAGATCGTCGATCCATCATCGATTTTAAGTCTCCGTACCTTCAGCTGTTCCGAAGTCTGGGTCCTTTCCAGTCTTGTGTAGCTATAGCTTGATTGGTCTCGGTCTTAGTCTCTCCCATCACTCAACCCTCTACTTAGGATTTCTCATGCTGTTCCACACGACTCTCAGACTGACGTCCAAGCTGATCGGCTAAATTACCCCGCACTCTGAAACTGAGACAAATCGCACCCCTTTTTTAAAGTTCCCAAGGGACCAGGCGATGACTCTCATGGGCTCCACGAGTACCTGGCTGGAATGTGGATGAGCGGCGGCTCTGTGCTCCAGGGCCAACATTCACAAATGGACTCAGATCTGCAGGCACACCCGAGGAACCATACATAGTTCTCGTGATCGCTTGTCTTTTGGAGACTCCATGGCTTTCGATGTCTCTTTACCAGTCATTGCTTGGAGATATATTCGGACTGACATTCAGTGGTGACGCCTATTTCTGAACGTCGACATGATTGCAGATACTCCTTCGTTGACTGAGGATGACTTGACTGGAAAAGCCGTCTCCAAAACGCGCAACGGCACCCCATCATCTCCGTAGCTGAAACAGATTTATCTAGATTCTCCACCACAACTTTCGACAAAGCCTGTGTTACAAAGTACAGGTGTAAAGCTATCTATGCAAAGCCTCTCCTGAGTAGACAGAAATATCGTGAGGCTAGTGGCAGAGGCAATCCGTCCAATCAGCGTGTCTTAACAGCAAGACCCATGGGAACCCGCCTATGTGAAGTGTAATCTCAGTAGGTGGGTGGAACACGCAGAAGGCACGCTGTAGTTTTTCCACCCGGGTCTCAGAGGTGCTGTATCCCCACCATGTGATGAAATTGATGGAATCGCTATTTCGTTCATTAAAACTTGATTGGGAACGGACACTTGGGGGCTGGGCGCTGTTGGTCTTCGGTCGGCTGATATCGTCCGAGCACTTCACCCTCACATCCCACAAGCAGTCGCTCATGCTAAGCAGCTTGGTGTCTCAGATTCTCGAAGATGCTATGGAGCACTACCAGCAGTGACCGATAGTTTTACTATAATTCACTTTTCCCCTCTCCTTCAACGATGATGATGAAAAGCCACAAGTTGGCCCAACTATCAACCGCAGTCGCAAATTTTCTGAATGAGCAGAGTGGCAGAAATCACGGAACGTCGAACATTTCTCCTAAACGTCGTGACTGTCCAATGATAGGCGGGATATACCCAACTCAGCACGAGGTGAAAGGCCATGAAGAGCGGGTCAAGGGGCTACTCGGTTAGACCAAAAGAAAGTCCCATAGGTATAAGACATGTCTAGTGGATCTAACCTGCAGTTAGTTGTCATAGTGTGGAGCGTGGAAGATGTTGGAGAACCGCAAGGTTGGAGTTCCGTGCAGCAAAGTCCACTTTGTAAACCTCAATCAGTCTGCAATGACTCGAATGGTAGCACTCAAGAGAAATCTTGATAGTCGATTGGCTCTGTCTTAGAGATGCGATATGTGGTGGATCTAGTGGTCCTGAGCTCGTGTGGAATGTGTCCCTTGCAGTGATTTTCGGGATCGGCGTGTATGATCCACGCCTGACTTTAGTGGATCGCAGATTCACCGCCATGCTCTCGGTGGAGTGATAGTGAGTCAAATGCACAGAATGGCAGGAATCATAATTATACGTAGTAGAGAAGGTAAGTTTCCTTGGAGCTGCAGTTGGCACATTCTGGGGTGAGCTGGCCGTCTACCCTCTTATCCTTAGGATTAAACCTACTGAACACCAGGCTTTTGATGATCTAAATCTTCTATTTCTGCTTCTGGTATTAAACAGACTTCAAACAAAACCTTCATCATCTAGCACATTGTGGCTTCAATTACCCAATGTACTTCGAATGGAGCGGAGACAGCTAAGGTTTAGCCCAGACAATGGGGAGCGCGAAAAACGTCACAATCGAAGGAAAAAATGCACTATGACCTCAAGTAACAAGAACTGACTTAGACTTTTTCCAGCTGCGGGATTTCCAGCCCACGCAAGGAGCCATCGTAGCTCTCCTATGCCCTGCTACTGGATGCATCAGTACTACGCCAGTTCTAGATGATCTCAAGCAACCGGAAGCTCCGAGGACTTAACACCCCTTCTGTTATATAAATACAAGAACGCTGTTCCTACAACCTCACTGCTTCATCAGCATCAGCATCAGCAAATTCTCCTCTTGTTCTCTCCTTCATACTACATATCTACCACCATGCAATTCTTCCTGAAGAACATCGCCCTCTTCTCGCTCCTCGCGATCGTGGTCTCTGCCACCTCTAAATTCGCCAACACTTGCCGCTCAATTGAGGGCTATGGCTCCGAGCTCACGGCCGAGTGCCAGGAATTTGAGAACGGCCAGCTGCGCGAGACTAGCATCGATCTAAACCGGTGCCTCAAGAACAGCAAGGGCTCCCTCAAGTGCGGATCGAAGTAAGCATAGTATCTACCTTTCAGCAGGCTCAGTATCTAATAAACGGTACAGTGGCAACTACCAGGATTCCTGCATCAACTGTGTCATGAGGGGACACACCGAGTATCAGTGCCAGTGCCGCAACGTGGACCAGGGTCACAGCTACGTTTCCACCACCATTGACCTGAGTAAGTCGTTCGGGACCTCGGTTGTAGAGCCAGCTAACGTGTCGATCTTTAACAGACAAGTGCATCAGCAACAACCACGGTGAGCTCCGCTGCTAAGTCAAGTTCTCGATCAAGCATTTGAGATCGGGAACACTTGGACAGCCCGGATAATGGAATGAATGAGGGAGGGGCATTAAAGAAACCTTCAAAGCTGAAAGAGAAGTTGTCCTTGGCGAAGGAATACATGAGGATATGATTTTTATGCGATTACGCTCGTTACCTATAACATCTGGATCAACGCCATAAACTAGCTATAGTTTTTGAGTTGATTAGTACTAGTTAGTATTTGTTCGAATAAACCCCAGCAAGTTATTGCTACTCAATTCAACACCACAAAACTGTCCAATTTCATCAATCGTCGATACGTGTTCTTTTCGGCCCCATTTGAAACTTGCGGATAGTAGGCACAATCTGAGGTCCTGAAGATCTTTCAGGCCTGCGATATGGGCCTTCAGAGCGGGGTCATGCAGGATAAGCAACACGGCTTGTGCACACGCACCATTTCATGACAAGGTCTCACCCCTTTCTCTAATTTTCGACCTTTTGAATCTTTACAATCCACAGACAAAATGCCCTACAAGAACGAAAGCTCTATTGAGATCGCTGCGCCGCCTGCGAAGGTGCGGGAAATTGTACGTGACAGATCACCCGAGACAACAAGAAAGCTACAACCGCAAAACTAACGAAACATGCACGTAGTTCCTGAACTTCTCGGCATACCCAGAATGGCACACCGATTTCATCAAGGGGATCGAGATCCAAGATAAGGACAAGACCGCTCAGACGCTCGCAGATGGCGACAAGCTCGATGTCAACATTGAGAACTTCAAGTTCATTGCCGAAATCAAGGTGAGGGAGTTCAAATCCGGTCTCAGGGCACAGCGCTAATCAGGATATCTAGGCCAACTCTGAAGATTTGTTCTCGTGGCAGGGTCCACCCGTCTTCACTATCGCCGGTCTTCATAGATTCCACATCGAGCCTACCAAGGATGGCGCGGCCACTATCTTCACGCAGTCGGAGGAGCTCAAGGGTCTGCTGGCCTGGATGATGAGTCCGTCGCTGCTGGGCAAGAAGATGAAGGCCCACTTTGCCGAGTTCAATCGCGACCTCAAGGCTCGGGCTGAAGCTTCTTAGGTGTGGCTGGCACTAGGGCTGGCACTAGGGGCGTTTTGATCAGCCCAGGGGGGTAGCTGCAAGCACGTTGTTATTCCCACGCACCTGTCTGGAGCTGTCGCCGTTTGTTCTGAGGATATCCATTTGATAGAGTTGTATTCGTTGAGCTGCTAGATTGATTCCAAGATTCCCATCAATCTCTATTTTTATTTTTACTGCGCGGAACTATTTTCGAAAGAGTTGTTCGATTGACAGGATTGTGGTCGGCCTGAGTAATAAGACGGACAGGGTTCCTGTAACAGCCCCTGACTTTGGCCCCCAAATCTGATATCCACTCTTCGTCAAGTTTTTTCGGCTTATTTATGAGAAAATGGCGATCGTCCGAATAGCACAATTGCCGGCGTGCAGGGGTGTTGGGCGCTGGAATTGACTCGGAAGCAAGACTGAGTGGATCGAGTGTGGAGCGGAGAAAACAGATTTGAAGAACTTAGAAGTCAAAAACTCACGCAGTCATAATTAGAGGGAATGAGGTGGTAATTGAAGAAGTGAGGTGAGGGTAGGAAGGGAACAAAGAACATCCAAAAAGATGCAGTTGCAACACCAACAGCCAGCTTCCCTGTACGGGACGGTGTATTCTGGCATCGCCATCCCAGGCTGGAGACTCGTCTGCGATATTACTATCCTGAACAGTAGACTCCATGGCTTAGCGACCCCCAGCGTCGTGGATTACTCGCACGAGTGAAGTGTCGAACCCAGGATTCGAACCAGGCACCAGTACCCGCTGGCTTGCGCCGAAGCAAGGTTGCCGTCTTAGCGGTGACTCTCCCACTAGGTTATCCATGACAGATAATAATTATAACACCAATTTTAAAATATACCACAAACCCATCGAATTCATATCTGGCAGTCTACCTTATCTACAACAGTAATTTCTATCATGCCCAGGGGTGGTAACCCCTGGATCTTTTTTAATTCCGTAGCGCCAAGTGGGTGCTGAGGTAAGAAATTTTTGACTGTCGCAGAGAGGGCTGGCAAACGGCACAAAGAGAGAGAGAGAGAGAGAGAAGCTTGGGACGAGCAGTGTCCGCCTCCCATCCGCTTCCTATCCTGGCCTTGTGTCGGTGTTTAATTCCAGGGTCCCCTGGCCGGCAATTTCTCGAAAGGGGATCCAAACACAAATATTCACTCTCGTCATATCTACACAATTTCTTAAGAAATATTTTCCCAAAAATAGAGAATCTCTATCAGGTTGTTGTTTCCTACATAAGATGCAGAGAACCTTGATCATTTGTTCATTTAGATTATAATCATCGAAAGGTAACAGCCGACTCTTTAGGAGAAATGACAGCACGTGGGCAAACGCAGGGAATCTCGACTTCAAGCTGAGATTGGCGTCAGGTTCGAATATTTGTGTAAACACACTTGAAACAACCACTCGCACACCGCTTGCAAGGTTGACCCTTGTCACATCGAACCCTCCTCCGCCTGCATAGATCGCAGGGTTTCTGCCGCATCGAAAAGACCTGCTTCCTCCTTTTCTCCATACTGCTAGCAACTTCAGATGAACAGTCAAGTTCACCATTCACACAATTGCGACAAGGCCTCTTATTGTCGCATTTTATCTTCCTATCCTGGCACTGGCCACATGGCGATGGTTTCCTTATGGACGATTGTTGGGGCTCTTGCTCTTGTACCTGTGTTTGGGATTCTCGCTGTATGAGAGGGCAGGTTTCCCTCCAAAGCTCCCTGCCACCCATGTCACATGCACTGTCCAACCAAAGGATTGATTTGAGTACCACTTTCATATCTTTCCACTGAGTCAGCTTAAATCGACTAATGACATTAAATAATGCAGTGGTTAAGTATGGCCTCTCGGGCTTGTCCAATGCCGCAATACCACCCATCGTAAGAGCCCAGAGCAAGAGATGACTGGTAGCTGGAGGCAGTGGGTCAATCTCGAGCACTTTACTCTTTTGCAGTTCAGCTTTCAACAAACGCACGAGAATGCCGAATGGAGCTCCGACTCCTGCAAGTGGGAATGTCACGCCGATGCTGTATATGATTACACCGATACGACAAATTTCCGAAACGGCGTCCTCTAGCCTTGAGCCACTGATCGGTGGTATGGACATCAAGTTATACTGGACGAGATTCCGCCTGTCACACATTGTCTGAGCATCGAGTCTCAGCGAGTCCCCTCTGGTGTAGCTTTCAATGGATATTGTGTAGTCTGCCAACTCTTGGAATACCGATGCAACGGCCGGAATGAGTCCAGCTTCATGTAAGAAGTCTCGTCGAGAATCAGCGCTGGTTGGGTCGTTCGTATTGACTTCTTTTATGGCCTGCTTGTCTTTTCCAGACAACGAGAAGAACGGCAGCGATGGAAAAGATATCGATAGTGTAGCGTTGACAAGTACTCGGCTGCTTGGGGTGTCACAAAAGAATCCAGTTGAGAATGATGGCCAAATACTCACTAGAAAGCAGCCGCCGCAACGCCCGGTGTCTCAATACTGGCAAGTCCCCCGCGCAAGTGGATAATCTTGCACAAGCCATCCTGGTGGGCGATTTCAGGCTCTCTAGCACTGTGAACACTCAACCATTGGAGGCTTTGAAGAGACGCCAGGAACGGCGATTCTTGAGACCATTCCCTGCTGCTTTCAAACACTGGTTTTTCGACTGTCATGAGAACTGCTAGAATGGTGGCATCGGTCGTTGCTCTTCGTGGATCTCGTAAAGCATCATTGATTGCACCAATTGTTTCTTTGTAGCAGGCTTGAAGAATGGACTCGGCGTTTTTATTTGGAGGTAGGAAGGCTCTCCCTGTGAGCAGGTCATTTATCCTTTGGTGAGAGAGTGAAGATGAGAGTAGTGCCGGGAAAAGAGCTCGGTCTCCCATCGACATGGGCAACCATGCCTGAAGGTAAGGGTTTACATAATTGTTGACGGGGAGCACATGCGGTGTCATGATTGAGTGTCCTACCAGGCAAACATCAGAGGATTAGGCCTCTTTAACTAGTTTAGCGATACGCAAAGCTTACTGTAGGTAAGAGCCTGCTGGACTATCCGTGGCGCCGTAGAAGTAGGATATGCTCCTGATGACGAAAATATTCCTACTTCCTGAATTAGATAGTCAACACGACCTAGATATAGCGAACACGATCAGTGGTTTGGCCCAAGCTTTGACACAAGGGCCAAGCCTCACCTATCTTGGCACCATCAGGCACCTGTTTCTCATGACGATCGAAGTGTCCCTTGGGGGCTTCATTATTCTGAACAGCCCAAGAATAGCAATCGTCCAACGCCATTTGCATGTTCCCGGAGTTCAAGGGGGTAGCCATCCCTTCGAAGACGTGGATCAAACACGCCTTGTGTTCCGACTTTGTTCAGTCCAACTGAGACCTCACGGAGAGACATAAGGCGAAGTCATATCGGAAGAATTGCGCTAAACCAAAAAGTGATAAACGGTACTGTCCGGTACGTTATGGTAGCCAGTAATATCGCGTCTAGCAAGGGTTGGGTCTCGAAGAGTCTGCCGAGTGCGGGGCGGCAATCCGGCCAGGCGATCATCTCAACTTATCGATCGTCGATGTTAATATTTAAATGGACAATGCGATATACAATATTCGAAGAGTCACATTTCTAATTTCAAGCTTGAGAGAATCGATCTGGAAGTTGGAATTTAAATTGGGGGCGTTTTATGCTTAATTAGCGTAGCGAAGGTCTCAATTGGCGTGCATGATTCACGCACGGAAAAGGGCCGAGAGATATTGTGCCTCGGCATGATTCATATTACGTGAGGATATACGGACTTGATTCAATTTACTGCAATATAGCTTACGGTTTCATTGTCAATCGCTGTAAGCCCAGAGAGCATACTATTTCGGGAACATGGTTTGTACCAAAGAGCAGATAAATGAAGAATCCAGCGATCCGTTGAGCTAAATTAAACAAACAACTCCATAATTCACATTTAAAGAGCGTCAGTCTCAGCTTTCGCCAACGCAGGAAGAGCCTTCCAGATAGATGGACCTTTAGGCTTCCAGCCGAGCGATCGGAGACGGCTTGCCCGGCTGCGACAGTTTACCTCCCCAAAGAACAGGAGCCCATAGGTGGTCCTTCAAGGCGTCTTCGACAGGTAGTCGATCAATATCCGCAGTCTCAAGCTTACCCTGTTACTTGGCGAGTTGCGCAACCTTCTCGGAGATATCCATCTACGCGAATTGGCCCGATTCTACGAAGTGATAACCCTCGGACCCTCCATTGAGCTTAGCCGCCCTGGGCCTCAGTGCTTCTTCAATCAAGAGAACACAGGCTCTTGACACGTCACCGACATGGATATCTGTTCATCATTGTTAACGTTTGTCTTCGGCCTGTCAGGGCGATGATTGAGTAGAAAGGATTGGCATACGATCTCAGAGGTTCTTACCTTGGGTGCCGCGTCCCCGTTTTAGAATAGCCTCACTCAAGTAGGGAATATGAATGCTGTGCGTCTTAATCGGACCCTCTCCGACGCCGTAAATCCGGGGAGGGCAGATGATCGCCGTGGGCACATTGTTCTTCACTCCGCTAGTGAAACCAGCATCATCAGCATTCGACGGAGAGTGAATTCAGGTAGCGTGCCATGACTTCGTACTCTGGGTGAGCAGCCATCAGGAAATCAGTGGTGTATCCACCGACATGATCGGTAGCACCAGTGACAAAGATTCTTGGCGACATTTTGTGGTTGTTGTTGCTGACTTGCTGGATTTTGATTTAAAGTCGGGCTGTGTGATTCACGATTGCTGATTGACACGATTATTTCCTGTGTCGCTGTTGGTCTGAGATACGATAGACGGGCCCTCGGGCCCGTTTTATAACCATCGTGGCGTATATACGAGACATCGCAAGTACCCTGACAAACTCACAGATTTCTAATCTTAGTATTGACAAATTGATAATCTGGAGATTCCCCGAAATGAACGGCGGCAGTCCACGTTGCTTACGCTCGCCGAATATGCCGAACCTCCCATGTTTTACCTTTTCAATCTGGCGTCACATTCCATATGACCGTGTATCTCAAATCAGTATTTATTGAAGGGTCTTGATGATGTGGGACTCAATCTTATTTTCCGGTCTCAAGTACGCGCGTTGGCGTTTTTCAGCCTTATCTTTTGATTAGCTCGTTGCTCTTCTCCCAAGGGTTCTGCACTCAACACCACAAGATACTTGTCGCAAGGAGCTAAGGCACCCGGACTAGGAAATGTTCGTTACAGGGCTACCAGATGTAGGAACTGCCCTTGTCATCGCCTTTAGAGGGTCTCTGTTCCTAAAACTGACCCGAAGGCGTAGCCTTAGGCACCTGGACCAAGTACTTCAAGCCAAATAGCTCAGATTATGCACTTCCAGATGAGCGAAAGGCCTAACAATAGGTCTGCGCTTACCCGGAAGATAGATCGCTGGACTTTCCATACGTTATAGATAACGAGGTCACTTTAACGACCGTGATCGCTATCACGATTTGGGTGGGACTTGGCGTCAATGCAAAGATTCCCGCGAACTCGGCGAAAAGGGGATCATCGGTGCTCGCCAAGAATCTCAATATTGTGCTCTTAGATTGTCGGAAAAGCTGTCATTGCAGGAAAACTAGATCGCCAGGATCGAGATCGCATACGTACTCCGTCCCTGACCTGGGTACAGACCGAATCCCCACACATCTTCAGAGTTTGTGGAGGTGGAGCCAGGAACCAGGTCAAGTCGAATATGCGATACACAAGTTGCACAAGAGTTTAAAAGTTACAAGGCTATTGGCCGATCGAGCACGGTCATGGTTTAATTTCTTGCTTCAATGTCGAGAAGATCATGAAAATGACGTAGGACGAGGTCCTGGCGTGGTATGCTACTCCACCTAGATCATGTGAAATCATTGCATTGCATGTCTTCCCATTCCGGGGCCCCTCAGGTTCCTCTTACCACTTCACCATGCCGCCATTTCGCAACCTATTGAACCGGAAGAATCAACCCAATGGCGGGGACGCCGATGGCTTCGACGAGAATCACCTGTCGCCCACCCCCGCTCCTATCGAGATTCGTCGCAGTTGCGACGGTGAACCGAACGAGTACAAATTGAGTGGTATGGTCGAGTCGTACTTGGTCTTTAGGGTCTTTAGGAGAACCTTGCTAATCTCAGTGCCCCGATAGTCGTCAATGACAGCGGTGTCTATCTTCCGGTACAGTGCCTCTCTTAATGAACGCAGTCATGCGATTCAATACCCCCTCCCCCCAGAGGACTGGTCTAATGATGGCACAGCCCTCCCCGCCGGAGAAACAGAGTTTCTGGCGCCGGTACCCAGGTTCCACACGCTCTTCAAACCATCGCGACCTTGTCGACGAAAATGAACCCTTTTCAATATCGCGTGAATCATTCGACTCTTATCGCCGCTCATTTGTACGCTCCCCGCCATACTTGACTCGTCTATATACTACGAAAAATGGGAAATAAGCCTCTAACAATGAACAGGATATTTGCGCCCGTTCACCTGTCGCACACGCCGACGCCGTCCCCTCCCGAACATCCCTCGACTCCCGCTTCTCCCGCTCGCCCGGCATGTGCTCGGGCAGGTTTGAGAAGCCCGACCCGATGGAAGAGGAGAAATTCGAAGAAGTCGGGCTAAACGACGAAACGAAACCCAAGAAGAAGGGAATCTTCGCCCGCTTCGGCGATACCAGTGACGCACCACAATCCGGTAACAAGTCTACTTCCTTTGGATTCCATATTCCTGGCAGGAAGCGCGGGCAGAGCGGCGGTGGTTCAGAGTTAAGCGCCATGAAGGGTCCCACGCCTGTGGTGGCCGAGAGAGGGAATGAGCTCCCATGATTCATGATATCTGTTGATGAGGTCTGATTTACGAGGCGTACTGGGTTGGCTTCGCTTTGTCTGATTCGCATCATAACGTCTTATTCCGAGTGCTATTTCTCGGAACCCCGACTTTCGCTGGATGTTTTCTTCTGGCGAGAGTCGCAGGGCTTTCATTTGTAAATTTTTACTTTCTTTTATTTTAATCTGCGAGTGGACTGATCGTAATCGTTACTTATCGAGTTCAAGTCCACTCAGTCCTCAGAGCGTCTAGAATATGGCTAACTTACACGCCGCATGGGTTTATATATTTCTTTCACCATATACTACCTTGGAATAAATAATCCAGAACCATTCGAAGACAAAGAAAGCAATGATCGTAGCATTCAAACGTTCAACTCCAATGTCTGGGACTAATCTCCTTATCAGTGCAAACCGAGCAAACAGCGGCAAAAAAACTTCCTCCGCCTGCGATCAAAAAAATTATCCTCCAGCACCACGAGCCATCTCAGCTCGGGCACCAACCAATCTTTCAATCTATTCCCAGTCCAGACACTATTTCAGTGTCGCCGTGATTTATAATCATCATGGCTGGAGTAAAACGCCCCGTCGACGCGGCCGAGGATCGCAATGGAAAGCGCAGCAAGACCAAGACAGTCTCCGCATCAAAGTCCAAAACCGCTGCGCCCGTGAAGAAGTCTAGCTCGAAGAAGGAGTCCAAGCCTAAGAAGGACGAAAAGAAGAAGGTTTCCAAGAAGAAGATTCAGGAAGAGTCTGAGGAGGACGAGGACGAGGACGACTTCGATATTGACGATATTTCCGACGATGACCTCGATGCTATTGATGCCATTGATGAGAGCCCGGAGGATGATGTCGATATGGAAGATGCGAGCGATGAGCAGGAAGAGCAGGAGAAGTCTGCCCAGCAGGAGAACAAGCACCAGAAGGTTGCCGACGAGGCGAAGAGTATGTTTTGCTTTACACTGGTCTACGAGTCTAGCCACTAACAGGAATCACCCTTTAGGCAATGCGTCTCGCGAGTCCCACGCCAAGCAAAAGGCTCTCCAGCTGGAGCGCAAGGCCGCCAAGCCCAATGCCGATCAGATCGCACGCTCGAAAAAGCTGTGGGAGCAGCTGCGCCGCAAGTCTCACGTCAAACTCGAAGACCGCAAGAAGCTCATCACCGAGCTGTTCGAGATCGTCACCGGCCGTGTCCGTGACTTTGTTTTCAAGCACGACTCCGTCCGAGTCATCCAGACCGCTCTGAAGTACGGTAACCTCGAACAGCGGAAGCAGATTGCACAGGAATTGCAGGGCAGCTACAAGGAGCTGGCTCAGAGCCGCTATGCCAAGTTCTTGGTCGGTAAGCTGATTGTGCACGGTGACAACGAGACCCGTGATATGATTATCCCCGAGTTCTATGGCCATGTCAGGCGTCTTATCCGCCACCCGGAGGGATCGTGGATTCTCGATGATGTCTATCGTACCGTTGCGACCAAGGCTCAGAAGACCCGCTTGCTGCGCGAGTGGTATGGTGCCGAGTTCGTTATCTTCCAGGAGGACAAGGAGCCCTCGTCCGACCTGCCCAAGATTTTGGAGGCTCACCCCGAGAAGCGGGGCCCTATCATGAACTACCTACATGAGCTCATCAACCAGTTGGTTCAGAAGAAGAGCACCGGCTTCACCATGCTGCACGACGCTATGTTGCAATACTTCCTCGCTACCAAGCCTGGCAGCACGGAAGCGAACGAGTTCATCGAGTTGCTCAAGGGCGACGAGGAGGGCGATCTGGTCAAGAACTTGGCCTTCACCCAGTCTGGCTCGCGCTTGATGTCCCTGACTCTGGCTTACGCCAACGCCAAGGACCGCAAGCTGCTCCTGCGATTCTACAGAGACACCGTCAAGGCAATGGCCGGTGATTTGAATGGCCACATGGTTCTTCTCGCTGCCTACGAAGTTGTGGACGACACCAAATTGAGCTCCAAGTCTATCTTTGGTGAGCTGTTGAACCAGAACGACCCGGAGGAGGCCCGGAACGAGGAGTTGTGCTACCAGGTCAACGACCTGACTGCCCGTGTCGCAGTTCTATACCCCTTCGCTGGCGAGCGTGTCAAGTGGCTCCTGCCCGAAGCGGACCAGGAGGTTCTCAAAGAGGTTCGCGAGGTCCGCAAGGAAACTTCCAAGAAGGAGCCCGCCACCCGCCGTCTGGAGCTCGTCAAGGCCGCCTCCCCCACCCTGCTTGCTTTCATTGCCGCCCGCGCTGAGACCTTGTTGGAGACTACAATGGGATGTCAGTTCATCGGTGAAGTGTTGTTCGAAGCTGATGGCGACAAGACCGCCGCCCTGGAAGGTGTGGCCCAGGCTGCCAAGGCCAAGTCCGAGACACGCGACTTTGCCTCCGTCGGACGTCTGCTCAAGTCGCTCGTACAGGGTGGCCGCTTCAACCCCGCTACTAAGAGCGTTGAGAAGGTGGAGCCGGCGCTCAACTTCCACGATCTGCTGTACGAGCAGATCAGTGACGAGGTGATGGAATGGGCTACGGGAGCCAACCCCTTCGTGATTGTTGCTCTGACTGAATCTGACGATTTCTCGAAGAAGGATGAGCTGCTGAAGATACTGAAGAAGAACAAGAAGGCGCTGGAGAAGGCGTCGGTGCCCGGCAAAGATGAGAAGAAGCCTGGGCCGACGAGCAGTGGAGCGAAGATTCTGCTGCAGAAGCTATAGGGTGTTTTCTTTTTGGGGGTTTGTAATATCTACCACATTGTACAGGCGTCGACCTAAAAGCATAACATGATGATATTTATTTTTCTACGTATTTTTGGCATGAAAATTAGTTCCCCACTGAGTGGGTTCCGTGGATCACGGGCGGACCTCAGGGGTTCGTACCATTTGATTGAATACTGCGGTAGAAGCCAGGGAGTCCCGAAACATGGGGGTCCTTGCGTATGCCTGCGTAGCTGTTCATGCATGACCCTTGTGCGACCTAGGGATTCTGAAGTGTTAGTGTTAGTGTTAGGATGGGACACGAGGCCATCAGCTATAAGCAGCACGGGGCTACAGCAGCCAACGGCCTGTGCCGCTCTACTAAGTGCCGGAGTGTTTTAGTGCCAGGTGTAATTAAACATCCTTCAAGCTAGAAAGACAGTCTATGCTACTTCCAACTATTGACTGCACGAGCACAGTGCAATTGTGGGCTGCAAGTGACGTGTAAAATCGAGATCTATGCTTGACACACCACATCGAACCTCACCCTCCAATCTCATCACTCAAGCAACTTTCACTTCATCATCATCATCTTCTTCTGCTTACCCCGATCAGGCAATGATCACAGCACGCTAAACCCCATCGAACTTGCCCGTTAGGGGCAGCTTTTTCAGGCTTGTTCACTTTGGTTCCTTGGGTCCTTAGGTTCCTAGTCCAGGCCTCAGAGCCAGCCCAGCCCGTCTCTGTCTTTTCCTCTCTCCTACATTCCTTAGGCTCCTCAGGCCCGAGAGCCCGCACGCATGCCCTCCCTCACTCTGACCGACCCGGACATGATCCTGCCGTATGGCAGCGATCGCGAATCCCAGACTCCCTCCCCGCCCTCCCAGCTGGTCTATTTGTCCAATCTGAATGCGCGCTACTCCGGCGATGCGCATTCCAACGGCCGACCCAAGAAAAATTTTTCGCGACACTGGGCCAATGACGACGTGAATAATCGCCGACTGTCTGATATCGGCGAGGAACTCTCGCCGTCGCGTTTGGGAGGGTTCGACGAGGAGGACAGTCCACGCGACCAGGGAACAACGAGTTCGCCTGACACAGAGGAGCAATTGACCGCTCCTGAGACGGGGGAGTATGCGGGGAGTAGCTCGAGTTCGACTGTGAGCGCGGGGAGTACTCGCGCTTCGACAGCAAAGCAGGCGTCGTCGCCGCAGATTGCTACTGAGCCGTCACCGAATCCTGCGGAGAGTGTAAACAAGCCGGGAAATGGAGATGTAGGCAAGACCGGCTTGCCTAGCACTGTCGTTGCCTCTACTGCTGCGAAGGGCAAGGGCCCTGGAGACGAGTTCTCGTCCGCGATACTGAGCAGCGAGGCTGAAAGAATTCTAGAGAATGCGAAGAAGCGTTTGACGCTGATGGAGGGGAACCTGAACCGCGCTCGTTCGGCGGTGCGACATACGCCCTCGCCTTCGCAGTCATCGCCGGCGACCTCACCTATTGGGTCTCACCAGCCGGGTGGCCTTTATCGATCGATTTCCCATCGCAAGGGCTCTGCGCTCCGTCGACAGTCAGTGGTTGCGTCGCAGGATGCTTCGACGAACCGGCACTCGCGTGTGCACAGCGAGACCAATTTCCCGTCTGAGTCCATGTCGAATGATACAAAGAAAATGTCTCGGTCTGTTAGTGCCATGGGCTCTAGTAGTCGGTCCAACTTGAATACCGACCAGCGATCATTTCAATATGGGCCCGGTAGGGCATACCTCACGCACCGTGCGTCGATTTCGTCTATGCAAACGCCCCAGCAAGAGAACCGGCAAGAGAACCAGCAAGAGAACCAGCAAGAGAGCCAGCAACCGTCTCCCGAGACTGCGCAGTCACCTGTTATCGAGCAGTCCCAGGAGAGCAGTCCCGCCGAATCTCCTAAGGGTCTGGGTATCTCTTCGGAGGACGATGTCAAGTCAACCCCGGGAGATTTCAGTCCGGTCTACAGTTCGTATGGCCCACCCAGTCGGGCCCAGTCTCAGCTGCAAGTGCGTGATCTACAGTACCAGATGAAGGGTCTTCATATCAAAATTTCTTCCCTCAAGGTGCGGAATCAAGAGGATAACCTTCGCCGACGCAGTCTCCAAAGCTTGCGCACGCCTAGTCCTTTGACGGCTGCGGATCCCTTTTATAAAAATGGTCTGGAGCTGCGAGAAGGCCAGAGTAGCCGTGGATCCAACACGAGACGGGATGGCAGCTCTGAATACGCTCGAGAGGTCCGCTCCCTGAATCCCAGCGGGACTGCTAAATACCAAGGCGAGAACAACGCGGCCAAGCGGAATGATGACAGTTCTCTGGAGCCATCCTCGGCGATTGCCTCGCCACCAACAGGGCATGTGCCTTGGCAAACACCACCCGTGGGCTATGACGACGGTCGGCAATCTGTCGCAGAAAGCATGTATGAAGACGCCGAGGAGGGCGAAATCGACCGGGAGGCTCTTGATGAAATCCTGCGCGAGCCGCTTGACGCAGATTTGGAAGAATACGCCGCTGAAGGCGTGCCCCACGAGGAACGCGAAGATGCCTTTGACTACGAACACTTCATTCTGCACAGTGCACTGGGCAACTACTCGGGCCAGTTTCGCCGCCCCAGTCAGGTTTCTCAAGAGTCTACCGAGACGACTCGGCCTGCCCAGGCCTCGCGGTCTCGTCAGCAATCTCGCTCTCGCTCTCGACAGCCTTCTCGATCTCGATCGATTAAGCACTCGCGCAACAACAGTGCCATGTCCGTCTCGACTGTTGCTACATTTGCTACCGCAATGGAAGGCGACGAGATGACCGAGGAAGAAGAAGACCTTCTCTATTGGGACCGTCGGTTCAATCATGGTGAGATCCTATATCTGCATATCATATGAAAGCTATTCTAACATCAACAGAACTCCGTCGCCAACCCAGTCCCGTCCTTGAGACTGATCGCTCAGAAACTCCCCGCGGGCCCCGACATGGCGATGTCCCTATCAACAGCCAGCCACAAACCCCATCCCGGGCCCTAGACGTGACCGGCCGCTCATCAGGGGCCGGGTCTGCAACCCCAACCTCCCTTGTCTCATCCCTCGTCTCAACCGTCCGAGCAGCCTCAAGCCCGCACCCAGGCTCCGCAACCCCCACTGGAAACGGAGGCATCAACTCGGACGACACGCAGATGCTCGAGCAGCTTTTCTCCAGTCTGGGTAATGTCTGCATGGACCTGCAAGCAATCACGACCTCGCCCGATCCCGACATGAAGGCTGCACGAGTTCTACGACGACGACTGGACGCTGCTAGACGAGTATTGGATGGGGAGCTCGATGCTTGATTTTGCATCATCCCTTGTATATGTGCTTACTGATACTTTCTTTCTTTCCATTTCCTTTCCACTATGATACCCAATGTCTTTTCGTTCCTTGAATATTCCCAATTTCCATCTGTTATTGTTAGCGTGGTTGATCCATAGTGGCATTTGTCTGCGCTGCGTCCCTTGAGCTCCAGCTCCGGCATTTACTCCATATCCAATCTAGATTTAGACATAATTTTAATGTCCATCTAAGCCCGATCCAGTGCTAGGGAAAATGTCATCTTCATTCCACTAAGTACTAAAGTATGTGCCATTACTAAAAGCGCGATGATCATTCCGCCCACCCCACCTCCACGCGGCAAAGAGGAACACAAACATCCCCGGAGCCCATCTACCCATTCCTCGGTGTTGACTGCCTTAAACACATGGCTCTATTGTCTGACTATTCTCTGATCTATTTCACCTTGCAAAAGGACGGTCGTTCCTTGTGGACGTGAAGCCCGCGCATTCCCCCCCTTTTTTTCGTGCCCCGCGATAATCATAGCCGATCCGGACGCGATAAGCAGCCTCTGTCGCGTCGCGTTCAAGGACTTGGTGAGATATGATATGTTTCGAGATGTCGCTACGCACATATTTTAATTTTGTTCTAGGAACGTCTTCAAGACAGCCAAGGCAAAAGAAGCCCGCGCTGGGTAATTGAGCGCAAAGACTCGAGTGCAAGATCATCGGGTCCGTACACAAACAACAGTTGCACTATCACTATCTCAAGCATCATCCTCTCAAGATGAGCAAAACACAGAGTCCAACCCGTCGCCTCCTCATTTTCCAGGAGGCGCGCAATCCGCAAAACACAGCGGAGATCGTGTACCTCCCCGTCAACAAACTGGGTCTCCCGATTTGCGGCGAGGGGCCCGAGCTACCATCCATCTTGGAACTACCACTGCGCATTTTGAAGGTGTTTACTGAGATTTTCAACCAGCCGAAATATAAAGGGTGGTAAGTCTTCATAATTCATGTTTCCCGTGGTGGTGTTCAGTGTCGGTGTTGGCATCCCGTGCTGATGAACATAGGGCTGTTCTCGGGGCCGGTCCGTACCACGACACCTCAGAGGAAGGCAAGTTCTACGCCGTTGTGCTAGAATCAACACAGCCGGCAGGACAGGGACAGGCACAGGTGCAGCCGGAGGTTCATATGCAGACGCCTTAATACGAGAGGCCGAGGCGTTTTGTATAGTGTATGTTTTTATTACTGAATTGGTGCGGAATTGGCAGTTTGTGGAATAGAATACCATTACTTTATGAGCAGGCTGAGAGGCTTTGAATACAATACATTCATGGATGCTAGATGCAAGTTAATTCCAAATATTGCCATATGCCTTGAGAAGATGAAGGAACTGTCCCTTCCCCTTCATGTAAAACTCGTCGTCTAACCTGATTCAATTCCAGCTGGTGTTCTTCCTGCCTGCTGTCTCCCCGCGTCGGTACGCCAATAGAATTTGCACAGTGCTGAAATCAATTGAGGCGCATCTCCTGCGTTGATTCGGCGGAGTATCATGTCGAACACGTCGTGTTGGCGGTTCTTGAGCATCTCGCGGGCCAAGCACTTGTTCGCTCTGTGGTCGATTCACTTGAAGAGCGGGTCACTGAGGGGTCCATGGCCGGCTATACAGATGTCAGCAACACACAATAAACAAAGCCATAGGTTCAAGTAGGTTATTCACCAAAGTCGTAGATCTGCTGGGGCATCATGCCATAGATCTTCAAGAATGAGTCCCTAACATGTTCACAAAACTCCCCCTGGAGTCCGCCCCAATGCAGCATCATACCAGCATCCAGAAGACAATCTGCGCTACAGGTCTGCTTGTTGAGCCAGTCAAGCTGCGGCTCAAAATCAGGGTCCTCCATGTCTCCTTTCTCGTATTCGAGGAGATTGCGAAGACGGACTCTGTAGAGCTTGTCTTTAAGGTCGATGACCTCATCTTCCAGTTTAGCTCGCTGAGCTCTCAGCTCGTGATAGGTCTTCAGCTCAGAATTTGTCAGTTCCAATCTTGTTACTTGGGCTTCGAGCACGTGGACAATGGCTTTGGGTATTTCATGGACGTCAAATAGGGATTGCTGCGCCTTTTTGACGCCGTCGATCTGGACTTGTCGTAGTCTCTTGTAGGCGTGGCTGGCTTGAGCCTTCAGACTCTTTGGGCAAAATTGTGTGAGTGGTTTGTACTCTTCTGGGTTGTCTTGAATGGGGTGTTCACCTTCAGCGATTCCTCATCAAGGCTAGACATGTCTAGTGATACAGGTTCTTTCTACACTGGCTGCTAGATATCTGGCCAGTGTTGCGATAGTTTCTGGTAGATGGTAGGGAGGTTGGTAGGGAAGAAGAGATTCGATTGTGGTCGAGCGAATTGATGCAAGGTATATAGAAGTGAGCAAAGGCGGCCCAATCCGTATTGGTGTAGAGGTGGCTACCATGGACGGCCTCAATGAGCTAACGCATAACAAGAGCTCCCGCGCCAGTTTGGCAACGGACAAGATATAAGCTTATTTTTCTCTCAATTAACACAGTTCAGGACTGCAGAGACTCCCTAAGCCTTTTTGGGTCAACTACAACCGGTTCGAACCACGGACCGAATTTTCAACTCTGGCAACGGCTCCTACCTATAAGCCTGCACCTGCTATACAAACATCGACCTCCTCGCTCCTTCGCTCTTCAACTATATCTTTCATCAAACCCTTCATCACACACAATCGTCTTATTTAATCCAACCCCATTCATCATGACCATCCTCTCGCCTTCCTTGATCCTTCTTACCTATCGGGCCGAGAACGAATCTTTCGTCCTGGATAATAGCTCCGGCGTGCATCTCAAAATCGACGAGTATAAGGAGTATGTGAATACCCATTCCGATACCATTTCGCACTTACACTCCAATGTGCTGGAGAGCGCGACTGAGAAGATCCAAAATGACTTCAGCGCATAGTGAGTTACTTCCATAACTTCCACGAGCGCATAAATTTACTAGGCCCGTAGCTCTCTCTACAGCAGCTGGGTTGATTGCGAGAAGAAGTGTCACTGCGCGGTGCTCCGCCACAGCAGCCCTTGGGCCAAAGACCGGGACAATGTTCAAAGCCTGGATTGGAGATCTTTCGGCGTTGATAAGATTATTCCTGTTAAGCATTAAGGTAATGATGCTCACCTGGTTCTCCTCAATCGTGGGTCGCAGAAGCTGATTCGTGTTCAGATATCTCGCACTTCTTTCCTTGATGGCTTCATTCGATATTTATATCTTGCTTCGTTTTCGAGCCATCCTACTTTTCGGTCTCTCCGCAACTTTTTGCATTGGTAATTCAAACGCTGGTCTTTAGGATAACTTATAATACTCTCGTTACTTCTGATCACATATCAATCATCTTTCGAACAGTTTCAATATGTATTTAGTAAACTGACCCATTTTTAATTTCAATGGCTTCTAATCCTTGTTGCATTTCTTATAGTTCTTCCTCCTGGGCCTACTCTCTCTCTCTCTCTCTCTCTCTCTCTCTCTCTCTCACACACACACACACTCAATTACCATTATCTTATATAAATATTGAACTCAATAGATCCGTCTCCTACTCAGGTGCGAACACATCGGATCATATTCAAAACATCCCATGATATAAATATGTTGACCACACCATCTTCTTCGAAGAGAAAGCCATGTTTAAAGAATATTTGACGATTTCAAAAACTCTTCGCAGCATGTAGCTTTGACATCGCTCAAATGGCGCCTCTTCTGACCCTTCTCCTTTACCATAAGGTCTCCGCTCAGAGGCTTTATCTAGACAACAGACCCGGAATGCCAATATTGTCAAGTTCCCCTCTCATCCCACGAGACCACGAACAAATCGGTCTCAGCGCAGTACTCTCACGGGAGATCTTAACAGATTTGAAACCATATCCGAATCTAAAGGACTGGTACGTGCGGCTATTGAAACCCTCACTCTTGTATCAACGGTAAGACGATAGAGAAGTTTCGACTAACAGATCTCACAGTGTCTACGTCCGTCACTGGCACGATAAAAAAAATTCCCAGTGGTGCGTTTTGCTCCAAGACGTTATTGTTCAGCGTGTCATTGAAAGATCAGAACATCCGGTTCCAGACAGTCTCTTCGTGGATTCCGCTGAGAACTCCACAACTGCATCCGACTAACCCAGTGAGCATACTGTGGAGCCAATCGCGTCAACGACCATCGCAGAGAATACCATGAAGGTGACTACTGAAGTCGGGGTCTTTGCATTATGCGTTCTCCATTTTGCTTTAATTGATTGATAGGGCCGTGGTAGGATGAACAGGCGAAATTGTAAACAGCTGGAGCAAGCAGGCAATCTAATTTAGTGTTATTATGTACGACACTTTTCTCTCTGAAGACTTTTAAGGTTGGCAAGCTACGTACTAGATGAATGTATATCTGCTCACCGACCTCCGGGGGAGTATCGAGATCCTCCAATGCCAATCAATGCAGGTGTACTTGGATATACTAGGATCAACGAAGCCAAATCATCTAAATCCTGGGTTTAACACAGAATCTTTCATTGATGGTAACTCAAGATTGATACCCAATATTTAAGGAGTATAATCTTGCAAGACTACCGACACACAACCTTGGAACACAATTCCCAAGCAAGTAATACAGAAACAGCAGACGAAATTGTTTGAAGAAGACGCTTAGCGATATTAAATAGTCTGAAAGGCGAACAATTAAGAGTTTGCAGGCAGGAGTAGTGCGGCGCTGTGGCGGAGGTCGAGGGAGCGCGAATCAGATACGTCGAACATGGCATTGGCGCGTTCTTCGAGATAGTAGGCTGCAAATTTGTTAGTATTGGTGACAGATGAAAAGAGAGGGGTACGTACGGGAAATTTGGATCATGTCAAACCAGCGCACCGCATTCTCGTCACTGCCGTCGACGGCCTTGAGGGTACCGTTATCGGGGCGGACGGTGGTCTTGGGTGGAAGGCTACGCATTCTCAGGAGCATGTGTAGGATGTCGGCAAATCGCTCAGACTGGTTGTAGTAGTAAGGGGGACGCTTGTCCAGGGGCCACTATAGAGAATGTTAGTGGAAGAAATTTCGAATTCAGGGTGAAACTTACGCGCTGGGAAAAGTTCTCGTTGTCCCATGAGCGGAATAACCAGCATGTTCGCTCAACACAGTTAAGCAGGACCATTGACACAAGGAAAGTCTCGAACCAGCCAGTCTTCTGGCGCTGGAGCAGACGGCGCTCTAGGTCGTTGATCACGGACTTGCTCAATTGCATAGCACGCTTCTCCATCGCAGCACGGAGTTGGCTGCACAGGAGAGCGTAAGATTCGGGGTCGGAGTGTTCCTCGATAGGCATACGGCCTTCGTCCTGAGGCTGGGAGAGGGAGTGCATAGAAGTAGGAGGGAGGGTAGGGTTGCAGTAGGTCTTCCAGCTAAGCTCGGTATCAACCAGGATGTGAGTGGCGACCCAAAGGTCTACGGCACGTTCAAGCAAGGTGTCCTTCTTCGTCTGGGCAAGTTCAGCAGCAAGCATCAGGGTAGACTTCACGAAAGGAGAAGCCTCGCGCTCAAAGAAGAATGGAGCTGTCTTCTTGATGTACATCTCCAGCTTGCTTGGGATGTCATCGGCATCGCTGTCCAGCAGATAGATCTCCTGAGGAGGTCCAGAAAACTGATCCTCACCCAGGCCCTGAAGCTGCGGATCGAGGGTCGAAACTGTTGAGCGGTGGCCCTGAAGACCACTGATGGTGACGAAGACCATGCTCTCCTCCCCGTGAGTCACCTCAATGCGACCAGCATAGTGCTCGAATTTGATTTGGTTTTTGATCGCACTGGTATCGTGATAGGCGAGTGTCGCATGGAGGTCTATCATTTGTCAATTTCCAAGTCTTATCTCAAACAGGAAGACAAGCAATACTTACTAGCATTGTACAGCTCGAACTCCTCAGACAGGCGAGTCCGAATACAGGGGTGCTTCCAGAGACGAGCACTCTCAACGCTGGCACAAGTAGTACAGGGGTTATCACCAGAGCACTGAATCTCGTTAGCACGTACTGCAAGAAAATGTTATAGGGGTTGACACATACAGGTTTTTTCAGCATACGGCAACGAATGCATGCGCCACGCTTGCGCACTTCCTGGACCTCGCGACGACGTTCAGCAGAGAAACGACCCCGCACCTTGGGCTTAGCGGGCTTGGTTGAATTGCCGAACTCGTTAACAAATCCCTTGGCCTGGGTATTGGGGTTCATGGCAATTGGGCGAGGGAAAGATGCAGCACGCTGTGTGGGTGTCGCCGCAGTCAATGAAGGATCATGCTCCTGCAAGCTCTCGAACAGAATCTGTTCTTGGTGCGTGAGTGGCTGGTTCCACTGGTTCATCTTCATTTCACCACTGTCATCCATGGAGAGTCCCTGGGGAACCATCTCATTGGCAGATGCTGCGATCATTGACAACTGCGACTGGCGCGCGTTGGAGGTCGAGTCTGGAGTCATCGAGTGGTCGCCAAGTGGAGGAGACATGGAGTTGTGGTCGCCAGACGTATGGCTAGGAAGAGCCGGGATGGCCGGGTGGTTAGATGATTGGGGAGTTCCTGCGCATCGATTGTTAACAAGCCAGCATTTCCCTCGAGTGCGCGTGAGGGTCACATACCCTGGGCATTGCTATCATCCTCTTGCTTTTCGTCACCCTGCTGAGAGCTCGGTCCCTGGAAGTCAGCCTCCAGCGCCGGATCAACGACTACGGTCTTTCCACCAACAGTCAGAGACTGGGTGTACTGCGCGCCTCGCTTGGGCGGCTCCGAGGCGCCAACCTGACGAGAAGCTTCCGCCAGGACGTTCAAGCCGTCAAAGTTGGGGCGATTGCCAAAGTTCCCGTCTTTACCCTTCCCAGTCGAGGTGGGATCCTTATTTGTGTCGCCTTCGGTCAAATCGGGGAGTTCGTGGAGGCGGAGGAGCACACGCTGGCGGTCGCGAAGAGGAATGGCCTGGCACTTCTTGACCAGATGATTGGTGAGACTGTCAATGCGACCCTTGGGGAACTTCTCGCCGCAGGCCTTGCAGGTGTGCTGGTAGCGGTTGCTAGAATCCTCGAGCTTGGGGCCTCGGATAAAGAACTCGAGGATAAGCTGGTTGGGCTTGCGACCCATTTTGAGTGTGGTCAGAGCTGAAGAGAGGTAGTAGAAACACGCGTTTCACACAGATTGAGACCAAAGAGATCGATTGCCGCGGGCAATGCTCTCTCTTTGTGTTCGTCTGAAGGAAAGTCTGAAGACGCGACGAATCCAAACAAGAGACCGCGCGATTCCGGATCTGGCGAGGCCCAGGGAGAAAACAGGAAGGAGACCTCAAGGGCAGGGGCACCAGGCCAAACAGGCAAAGCCCAGAGTCAGGACTGTCAGTCGAGCTGGTGTAAGATAAATCGAGGGAACGGCAAAACTGGGGGGCAAATAGAGGCGGTCAAGTTGGGGTGGGAAAAAGACACGCGATGAAGGCTTCACCGCACGAAAGGCGGTGATCGTTGGGAAAGGCGGTGATGAGAAGGCGGTGATCACCGTGGGTGAAAGCGGTGATAAAAGACGGCCCTAGAAAGATGGAACTAGTTTTCTGATGAGGTTGACAAAGTCCTGGGTTGATCGATGATGGATGAAGTGAGTGAAAGGTTGAGGTCACCTCCTGGGGAAAATCTCTGCCGGGAGCCTGCGAAATATGCAGCTTTTCATTTGACTTTCTTCCACCTTTCGTCATCGTATATTGCTGTATACTCTTTTTCATTTGGTATTTGCTAATGATTTTATTTAGAAGTTTTATTTTGGATAGTTGGAACTATGAATCTAGCAAATTCGATACTCTGGAGGCCGCCAGGGCACTCCCAAGGCCGCAAAGATCCGGCGCTCATTGCGTGCCTCCAATAGTCGCCCCGGGTTGATCTTCACACCGGCGCTGCGAAGCACATCCGTGTACAGCCCTCGCTGGTTCAACACCATACCCTTTTTTCGGGCTAGTAGTCTCATGCTGCGGTTAAAAATATCGTTTCCGGTGAAGTAAAGGATTGCAGCCCCGAACTCGGCCCCAGGCACAAAAAGCAAATCGATGCGTCGCCACACATTCCCAGGCAGAGCGGACGCGCCATGCCATTTGGACGCGTCGTGGTTATGACGCGAGGTAGCAAGTCCAACTTTCAAAAATCCATCGTCAAACAACTTTGGCACCACGATGTTCATCATCAGTGATTGTATTTTATCCAGCGATGCGTTCGGCTTGGTGATGAGGAGATCGATGTCTCCCGAATCCAGTGCCCCGCGGCGGTAAGAACCTGTGATAATGACCTGCATGTCCTTGTCCACCGCCTGTACTGCCCGACGGACGATCGCTCCATGTTCTTCGACCTCCTTGCGTGGTACTCGCTGAGCAAAGTCGTGGTAACGCTCCACTCCGATGCGCTGGTTTTTAGAGAGCGGTGCTCTGTCCCGGAGATCATCGAGAGATCTATAGCCTTGTGCAACCCATTTAGACGCTTGGATGAGGCCAGCACCGTAGACACCAAGAAATACTTGAATCATTCTATCTTCGGGAGATTCATTGGTGTGATCAAGACGACGGAGGCGGTCGGTGAGGACAATTTCCTCGATCTTGTCCGCCAGTCGTTTTCCGATGCCGGGGAGGGCCAGAGCCTGAGCTCGTGTTGCGACCTTTTGAGGCTGTCGGCGTAATGCAGCGATCACCCTGCGATAGGCCATTGTGCGCCATTGATCGACGGTGCGGGTATAGTAATCCAACATTTGCTGCAGGATCTCGATGGTTCTGCTGTTGGGGTTATCACTTTTTGCGTTCGGGTCGAACTTTTGCATGCAAGCGAAGCCCTGCATCCATGATTGCCCAGTCTTATTCTCCCCGAGCGGTTCTCTCTGTTTCTTTTTGGGGGCGTCCTCTCGCTCAGAGGATTCGCCATCGGTTTCTTCGGCATGGGATTCCTCGTCAGATGAGTCAAGTGCATCGAGGGGCTGTGAATAGTGAGTAATCATATGGAAACAGGAAAGGATTAGAAATTACTCACCAAATGATTGGCTGCTTTTGCCTCGTCGATAACATCATCTAGGGAATCCCTTTCGCGCGTAATTGCATCATGCTCTGTCTCTGGCGCTGGCTGGCTGACTGCTAGCTTGGGGAAAGGTGACTCGATTAGCGCTGTTTCGCAGTTTGACTGAGAAGTTTCTGGAGACTTTTGCCGTGCTCTTCTCGATGGTTTCAGTGGCAAGGAGTCTGCGAGTACCGGCTCAGCGGTCATAGTTGGCTCTAAATTGTCCGTATCCACCGGGGTGCCCTTGACACGGAAGCGTACTTGCAGGGTGCTCAAGACTGTTCGAAATCTGATGCAGTCGGATGGGTAGGATTCATTCACAACGGCAATACGAGCCTATTGCATTGTTAGCCCCGCTTAGAGATGTCCAGACGAAAAGAACTGACAGGTAAGTTTTCGGCCTTCACGTGGGTTAAGAGGTCCTGATATAGAAGGCCCTTGTCGACAATTACATGCGTGATACTCTCTGTCCATTCTCTGGCCCATTGAGCACCATACTCCCGAGCCCGTTGGATGCGCAGTCGCCGAGACGGGGCGATATCATTGTTCGGCAAAAAGACTAGTCCGATTGTCAGGTAAACATTGAAAGGAACTATGAGAACTTCGAGTTAACTTACAGAATGAAAGCCCTTTAAAGATCTGCCGATTTTCAGGGAGAATCTTGAGGTTATCTGTCTTCCTCTTCTTCGCAGGAGGACCTGCGGCCTTTATCAACGGCATCGTTCCGGTGGTCTGAGCGCGTTGAACAATTCTCACTTTTGGTTCACTTACCTCGACAAAGCTTCGAGGATTACCGGTGTGAGGAATTTGCCGCAGTCCAACAGCAGGTAAGGCCAGAGGTTCGGTGTTGGAACGTTGAAGAGAAGCGGGCCCAGGACTGGCTGGGACAGGAGCAGCAGATGGACCTGGATTCCGAGAAGATCGCGAACTGAAGAGAAGATTCTCAAAAGAGTCATCGTCTTCATCATCGGAGTTATCGAGCCTTTGAAGGGCATCAAAGAAGCCCCTCTTGCTGAGCTTGTCCATGGTTGGCTAGTCTGGGTTCCTATGAAGTAAAGAGCGTCGGAGCCATGGAGCGTTCATTGCCGCTGCCTGATGTGAAATCCAAAGTGAAGCTAGGCAGCTCCGACTCTGCAGTTGTCAAATGGACTCAAGCCACGGTTGAGGCACCCATGGACGCGGCGTTGCGCGAAAACGCCGCCAGGTCACGGGATTCCCTTCCATTTAACCAGATCTGTCGGGACTCTGGTTACATCTGGTTACAAGTTCGACGATTTAGATAGATAAAATGAGAAGATACCGATTGGAAGCCCATTTCCAGCACAATATACTTAGGTCTGGTTATATGCATTGACTGCGTATGCTACATGTACCCAATTTACTACTGGAGGTATATAAGGAGCGTAAAAGAACACTCATCAATAGATTTAAGCGCCTTGGCTGCCAAGTTACAGACATTATTCCATATTTAATGTATTAGAACTAAACTAATGATATTTGGGATTCATACATGCAACTTTATACTCAATCAAGCCCCAAGTATAGATCTGAAACCGATCGCAAAAGCAAAAATACGTCATGTGACCAGTCCATTCCCAGTTAGGAAATTTTGATATTAAGAGACGACCTTGGAACCCGACACGGTCTCCTATCTGTCCGACTTTCCAAAGACTACGAGACCCCAAAACAACATGTGGAGGTCATCTCCATCTGCATATTTAGCTGGGCTCCCGCTTTTCCAGACGGGACGCTGCCTGAGCTGCCAATTCCGGGACACCGCAGCTCTCTCACACCTCCGCGCGAACTCCGCATCGATTCGTCAATATGCCACCGAAGACAACACGAGCAAGTCTGGTAACCCCGAAAAGAACGGAGCACCAATTATCACCAAACGTCCTGCTCGCCCATCACAACCGCTCCGCCGCGGCGGCCTCGGATTCCAACAGAATCCCAATGCCAACCCAGCTGCGCAGCCAGGCGACGCGGAGTTTACGCCTCCGCAACTAGACCGACCCATTGGCTGTGCAGCACCCCCAGAGGAAGGCGAGAACTCTGGACATGACACCCGATCGTTGAAACAGCGACGCGACGACTTTGTGGACTATGACAAGCACATCGCGCGGCGAAAGGAATTGTAGGTTCCAAGGGTGTCACCAGCAAACAATGAAACAAATACTAACATACTCAACCCGCCAACAGAACGAGACTAGTCGCGAAACCTTACTTCCGAGAATGGTCCAACCTGCGCTTGCAAGAGGGCAAAACCTTCGTGTCGAACCCACGGCTGTTCAAGGCTGAGCACGCCCTATACTTCCCCAACCTGCACGGCTTGACACTCGCATCACCCAAAGCCCCGCAAGATACAACGGCCATTCTGCGCGGCAAGATCAGTGTTGTGACTATGTTCTCTAGCGTATGGGCCGAGACTCAAGTAGGGACGTTCACTGGACCGAAGCAGAACCCCGGCCTGGCGGAGCTGCTTGCGAACAGCGGCCAGCATGCTCAGAAGGTGGATATTAATGTTGAGGAGAACCTTATGAAGGCATGGCTGGTTAAGCGCTTCATGTGGAGCATGCGCAAGAAGTTACCACTGGAGCAACATGCGCGATACTTCTTGATCGAGAAGGGATTCAGCGAGGTGCTTAAGGAAGCTGTTGGTATGATGAACTCCAAGGTTGGCTATGTCTACCTCGTTGACTCGCATTGTCGGATTCGGTGGGCTGGAAGTGGCCCCGCGGAGGCTGCGGAGCTGGAGACCCTGAATAACGGGTTGGCGAAGCTTCTTGCTGAAAAAAAGGCCGGTGCAGACCCGGCCTAAAGGTTCGAAGTGTATGATTTGACATCCCCCCTCCATTGGATTTGTACATATAATAGAGAATGTGTATAATAGAAAGAAAGAAACGCCAACAAGCCAGGTGCAGTATTATCATCATCCCTGACAAATATCAAATGCCCAACCCCATACGCCGAAAACCAAACAGGTCGCTGGACAATTGCAACAAACGACAGAAGAAGCAATGCATAAGGCGAGTCCAGCCCTCCTAGTGGAAGTAAAGCAGCATCAAGAAACAGAACCCAATGAAACATCCCAAGATAATCGCATCCCTCCGCTTCTTGGTCCCGATCTTGCCGATCAGATAGTTCATGCCAGGCACCTGGCTGGCTGCGCCGACAATGCGACGATTGATGCTAGCCAGGTTTTCGCGCTGGATCCCGAAATTCTCGTTGATTGCGTAGGCCTGGCTGAGCACGCCGTCCATCATGTTATGGCTGTTGTCTACCCGCCCGCGCTCCTCGAGCATGTAGTCTGCTTCGGCGGCGCTAGGGTTCGAGTTGCGGTAGGCGTCGATGTCGGAGCGGACATTAGAGAGCAGATTCGCACGGTCGCGCGTCTCCGCCATCGCGGAGGTCAGGCGCTGCAGCTCGCGGCGGTGGTCTTGGAGGATTTCACGATGGCGGGAGAGGTTGTTCTGCTTTAGGGCGGAGGAGGTGAGGGTAGCTTCGGAGTCAAGGAGGCGAGAGAGCTGTGCGATGAGCGATTCACGCTGTGCAGCGAGGTAAGCTTGCAGTTCGTAAGTGTCCTGTGTCAGGTAGACGTACCTTTTCGAGGAGGTCTTTCAACTGTGACTCAGTCCGCACTTCCTCTTCCGTAGGGGTTTTTGGAGGCTTTGTAAGAGAGGCGAATTGTGCGTATGTGTGGAAGAGGTTCTCTGTCTGTTCGGCTTCATGTTAGTCTTGCCAAACGGGGGTATAAAGACTCGGCCAGATTATCGTACCTGAGTCTCGAGCGAGCGGGCTTGTTGCCGCAGCTGGCCCCATCCGGAGCCGGTAGAGGTCATTACGGAGTATAGAAAGTAGAAGCAGGTAAAAGATCAAACTGCTCGGCTTCTCAGCTCACCCCGGACATACCAAAGATATCAAGCCAGGCCAGGGACCCGGCGACGTAAGTGCACCATGAGCTAACCCGATTCGGAGCGACACTTGGTGCCTTAGTGCCTAGCAGAACTTTATGCCTTAACTTAATGGTGTCCGTTAATTTTCGGATTTATATCACGTGCCCGCTTAGTGCGACCAACTCGCTTAGCCCTAGTCCCACAACCACAATTTGACCCGACTAGGACGTCTTCATTCTCAACGCCGACAACCCAGCATACACAACCCGCCAAGATGGTATGTTTGCGCTCGCTGCAATCCAGAAATGCAGGCACTGACTGTTTCTAGTCGTCCAAGGTCAAGGCTGCTCAGCTCTGGGGCAAGAACAAGGAGGACCTCTCCAAGCAGCTCGAGGAGTTGAAGACCGAGCTCAACCAGCTCCGCGTCCAGAAGATCTCCAGCGGTGCTTCGTCCAAGACCAACCGAATGTGCGTATTCGATCCCGACACCTGAATCACAATGCGAGGAGGAACGACGAGGGTTTTGTGCGATCGGCCGCGACAGAAAAAAAAAACACGACCACACAAAAGATGAGGCAAACACTGGGCCAATGCAGCAAGAAGGCAGCAGACTACGCCAACCATCGCAAAACCCTCGACGGCACCGATTCGCAAGATGATGTTCACCGATGGTCAAAATTTTCGGAATACTGACTTGGATTTTTTTTTTAATACAGTGGCGATGTTCGCAAGTCGATCGCTCGCGTGATGACCGTCATCAACGCCAACCAGCGCGCCCAGCTCCGTCTCTTCTACAAGGGCAAGAAGTACACTCCCCTCGATCTCCGCCCCAAGCTCACTCGTGAGATCCGCCGCCGTCTCACCAAGTACGAGGCTACCCGTACCACCGACAAGCAGCGCAAGCGCCAGATCCACTTCCCCCAGCGGAAGTTCGCCGTTAAGGTACGATAAATCGCCGTGGATGGTGTATTTCGCGTCAGCCCTGGACAATCCTCGTCCTTTACGCCTACGCATTACACACCACACCACTATAATTGAATAAGAAAAAGACTGACTGGTTGATATAGGCTTAAATGCAAAACTGTTCGGATCTGGAGTTTTGTGGGAAGACGTTACTTGCCCTTGGACACATTAAGCAGGACGTGATGGTGTAGACCTGATACCTTGCGGCGGGGTCGATTTTCTCTTTTTTTTACATCCAAAAAATGGAATCTGATTATGTATCTTAGAAGATGCAAATCGACTCTTGACATGACATGACATTCAACGTCTTTCACTTTCAATTGTGCTGAGGTGTATACACAATGGTGTTTCTTCATTTGAGGGTTCTCCTCTGCGTATTCCGTATCCCTATAGGGTTCTCTAGTTCTATGAAAACCTGTACCTGGGAGTTCTGATCCTTCCAGACCGTAGTGGAAGCTCTTCATCTTATCATCTGTGCCGGTGTATTTCATCCACGCTCCACATGTCCCCCACATCATCTCGATCTAGCCTCCATGGTCTCAAAGGGAGAAAAAAGGATGTATTCAACATTACGACGAAAATGCACTAATGCACTTATACAGAAAACCATAACTCAGAGCCCACGGCAACAGTCTTCAAGCCGTCTGATCCTGAACCCACGAAAACTAATGTGACTGCACCAAGCCACTCCCATTAGAATCCGCACCCTCCGTCTCAAGCATCCACACCCCACCGCAAGGACAACAGCGCAAGAGATTCAACTTCGCAACCATCTTGAAATAAGGCAATGACCTCGGCAGCACCGTATCGCCCGAGACCTCACAACACCTCACACACCTCCTCCTCTTCTGCAGTTGCACAACCCTCTCATTCCTCCCAACAGTCAACGACGGCCTCAGAGGGAACTTCTTCAGAATATCAACATCGCGATGTTTCCGATACATCGCCGTACGCACATCACCCCCAAACCCAAGCCAAGCATAATCACCCAGAATGACATCCTTGCGATTAATCTCGGCCTTCATAGCCGGCACTGTCTGCCTCAGCAGCGTAGCTACGGCAGTGACTAGAACCGGAGGGATGCGCGCGTTGACGAGGAGTTCCTTTTCAGGACCAGGTCGTTCAGCTTCGCCAAAGCCGGCGCCTTGGTAGGCGTGCTTCACGGCGGAGTCGACGCCGGCGAGGAACTTCTCGTATACGTCTATGCGTACCGGGGAGGATTCAAGCAGTTGGAGGATTCCGTTGTAGTAGACTCGAGAGTCTGGGTTTAGGATTATCGGGTTGATTTTGGCGAAGCCGGCTGCTACGCCGCGAAGGCCGCGGCATATGAATTTTAAGAATGCGCGGGCCATGCTGGAGAGGAGGATGATAAGGGTGAGGGAGTTGGTGGATTTTACTGTGAGAGTGCGTTAGCGTGGGAGGGAAGTTGTTGGATGACTGGGCGCGTACATTTCTGGGTGAATGCCTCTTGGTCGGTGAAGACACTTTCGAATTCATCGGCAAGATCAAAGATCTCACCCAGGATGAAGTGGTCGAAATCTAGAGCCCATTTTGTGTTTCCGAGGAGCATGCGCAGAATTTCTGGTGCTTGTTAGTAATTGAATGTAGGGAACTGGTGGTATGAACTTACCGGCATCAAGTGCCTCGCTTTGCCCTTCCTTATTGTGCTGGAAGAAGTATGCATATAGAACGGAAGCGTGACGAAGCTGGAGAATTGCCCAGGGCACTGCTGAAGCTAGGTTACGCTTCTTAAGTCTCCCGTTGAAGCTCAATGCAGCTTGTAAACTCAAGCACCGTGGAATATATGGATGCGTCATGAGCTTTTCCTGTTCAGTAGTAAAGTTACAGTTGACAGGCAGCGCACGGAAGATCTCGTTGATTAATGTGGCTTGAGCGTCCGATGACAACTGCCGTAGAGCCACCATGAGAATATCGTCGGTATTGACATCCCCTCCGCAAGCGCGACTGAATGCGAGAGTCAATGCAGCAATAGCTGAGGAGAACTTCGTCTCGTCGTAGAGACTGCCTGCCGATCCAAACGAATGCTCCATTAATCGTAGCTGTGTTTGGCCCTCGCTGTCCAAAGACACAGCAGCGCATGAGTTTGGAGAAAAGCTGACAGAGAGACCTGGTGTGTTCATTGGGTACTGGAAACCCGCCTGAGCCAAACATGTCACTGTGCTTGTGTCGTCCATACCATTAAAAACGGCCATGGTCCTCGTGTCGTAGAATGTGATGGAGCTGTCATCATGGGTAATGGCCAAGGCAGTCCCATGTTCGACTAAGTCCACCGAGACGATATACTTGTCGCAGTGGATATCCTCAAGTCGACGCAATTCCATTTTGGACTAGAAGTTCAGTCAGTGAATCTCAGCAACAAGGGATATGTCTCACGACTATACCTTTGTCTGGGGGCTATTCTTCTTTGAGTTGACCTCGTTGAACTTGGGGTGGAATGCTTGGGGTGCAGACTCTAAGTGCCACCTTACGATGACACTTGGCGGTCCTTGCTGGTCTGGATATTCGGGAGTGGCATGAAGAGGTTTAGAGAAGACGGCAAGAATCCATGGACTCGCAGTTGATCCCGCTGGGCTATCGATCTGACCCGGCATGATATCGAGTCGGGTCAGTGAGTAGACAGAATTAGGGAATGGCATTGGCTGATCCGAATGTTGTTCAGCGCTATGGTTGACATTGAAAATGCTGCTAGGCATGTCGATCTTGCAATGATTCAGACGGAAGGTAGGAACAGGAAATTGATTTGGGTGTTTGGCCTGACTTGGGTCCCATTGTGGTGGGTTCCAGGCAATGTGTACCCGGTATAGACAGATCTTCTGGCACACAGAGTAAGTGGTAATCAAGATTCCAGCTGTATTGAAGCATTAGCGTGTACAACTGATCGCTTGGGGATGATATGTGGCACCTTGAGTTGCAACCAAAGCTGCGTGTGTTAAAAGCCTGTCCGAGTAGCCAGTGTTCTTGAGCTCATTAGGCAGTTCAGCCCACTTGCTATCCGGGTTTTGGTACATGAGTTTGATTTGGCCTGCTCGGGTTACACAGAGCAGTGCGCCTTTATTGGCTGGGTGAAAAGGGCCAACTGGGCGTCGACGGAAGGGGGAATATGCCCATCGCCCGTTTACCTTGGCTGCTTGGTGAAATGCGTGGACCTGGGGACATGGTTTAGATCTTGGGTAATAGGCTTGGTTGGACGGATTACTTACGGAGCGGGATGTGTTGAGCCACATCATGCCGACAACCTGATTGCTATCGTCACTTGAGTCAAAGGTTGCTTGGCGCAGGCCCGTGACGCTATTCAGGGCCATGGATATCGAGTAGATGGAAACTCGGCCTAAGCAATCGGCCACGGCCAACTCCGACCCGGTTTCATTCCAGGACAAATGAACCAACTGGCTGCCACTATGAGCTTCGGTGACTGAACCGAGCGAGAATTCCTCGCTCAGAACCCATTTCCCATCCGATGGACGGCATTGGAGATGGCGGACATTGACCCGGGCTCCGTCAGGGGAGACGTAGGCAATACATCCCATTCGGGACCAGGTGATCTTTCTAGGCAAATCTTCAGTATCCTCTTGTTCAGAGATGTAGATGATAACTTACTGGCGACAGCCTGACAGGCGCAACTCATCCAGACACTGGGCTAGTCCTTTAGTGGACGGGGGAGCAGTCTGGAGACCTAGCTCCAAAGAATTGGGCTCCCCAAAGAGGTCGTCGACATTGATGCCGTCCTCCATCATCAAGGGCATTCTGTGAAATACTCTGCTTCTCACAGTTCAAAGGCCAATGAAGTCAGCCCCGCACGACATGAATGCTCAATGCCGATCTCGCTCTCGGGACCATTGGCGGTGTTGATATGGCTGGGGAAGGCCGAGGTGTCCGCCGAGCTGGAGTTCGGGGCCGGAAAGGACAGTAACTGTTCAATCGCAGGCAGCAATAGTCGGTGATGTATGTCAAGTGACCATTCAATAATTGAGATATCGTCTATAGACCCTTTCATTCAACCCTCCAGCGCTGACTGAAAGGCGCCTGACTCGGCGCCCTGAGCAGCTGAGTCAGCATCTGTCAATCACATGACGGCTGCCCTGCCAACCATCATTCGACCAATCACAGGTCTATAGATGCCCCACATCCAACCACACCAATCAAAGCGAACCATGCAAAGTGCAAAACCGACCAGGTGCAAAATGAACAGTGTGGAAGGCGAAAACATGACATTCAATGTCAATGGAAACAATGGAAAGATCGGGGTTTCGATATAAAAATGAATGATCTCGATAGAAATGCATGCAAAGTCCTCAAATCGGTCTACCAGGACCTCGACAGTAACTCCCTCCATCAACCCCCAAAAGAACCCCGAACAACTCGATGTTACTTCGCATCAAAACAAGCGCATCATCGAGTCGTCGCCCACACAAGCCCCGGACCAACATACCGGGACTTTTCATCCACCCCCGGAGATCTTCTTTCTTCGCAACCACATTCCAGACAGTAGCAACCCAACCCTACTCATCCGTACCCCTCCGCGGGTCAAAACAAAGCCGTTCGACGGCCCGTTGATTTTCATTTTTCCATTTCATGATCGATCCCCGGCTGACCTCATCGTCTGCAACTCCTCCCCTTTCCACCTTTGCACTCCTTCCTTGAAACCCCCCTCTTCCACTGGATGTTGGACTCTTATTAAGCTCCATTGATCAAGTTTAATGTTCTGGAGTCCCAAATGGTTATTTTCCCTGCCATTTCTCCCGTTTACGAGCTTGTCTGAGCAGAATCAATCGTCATCTGCTTCCTCAGACGGTTTCAACTCATCCCTGAGGCACGATTCTATTATTCTCGACCAGAACTCCCGCTCAACGAGCAACTCTCCCGTGATGGATTGCGATCTTTCCGATATTTCAGACCTGAGCTCCGTGCCCTCATCGCCCAGGTCTTCCCCGGAGCCAGCGAAGCGATACTTGACGCCCTCGTCACAGTCTTCGCAGGAGGGTGAGGATTCTACACGCCAAGACTGCCCTCCGCGCAAGAAGCGGAGACGCAACCCCCTACCCAAAGAACGCACCACACAATATCTATCATTAGCCAAATCATCTTGCGAGCAACAGGACCAGGTCCGATTGCTTGTCGAGACCCTTCGCCACCAAAAAGACATCGTGGTCATTGCGGGCGCGGGCATCTCCACCTCCGCGGGTAGTAAGTTTTCACGTTCCAGCGTTTCACATGGCGCCGGCGCCCAAGCTCACACCACATATAGTTCCCGATTTTCGCTCCACAGATGGTCTTTTCAAGTCTTTGCAAAAGAAACACAATTTGAAGGCCTCTGGCAAGCTTTTGTTCGATGCTGCCGTCTATCAAGATGACGCCCTTACGGCTCCCTTCCATGAAATGGTGCGGTCGCTATCCATTGAAGCTGGAAAGACCCAGCCCACCAAATTCCACGATATGCTTGCCCGTCTCGGCAAGGAGAACCGTCTCAAGCGTCTGTATACCCAGAATATCGATGGCCTCGAAACGTCCATGAAGCCGTTGGAAACAGAGATCCCGCTCAACATCAAGGGCCGCTGGCCCGTCACCATTCAATTACATGGGAGCATCACTAAGATGGTTTGCCAGAAGTGTCGTTACCTTAGCGATTTTGTACCCAGCCGGTTCTGCGACGCAGATCCTCCTGAGTGTGATGAGTGCGCGATCAAGAACGAAGTCCGCACAACGACTGGCCAGCGGAGCCATGGTATCGGTCGCATGCGCCCGCGCATTGTCCTCTACAACGAACACAACCCCGATGAGGAGGCCATAACTTCGGTTATGAATGCAGATATTAAGTCTCGACCCCGCGTGCTCATCGTCGCCGGTACCAGCTTGAAAATTCCTGGAGTTCGCCGTCTCGTAAAGACCATCTGCCCAATCATCCGCGGCCGCAAGGACGGAGTCACCATGTTCATCAACAATGAGCCTCCAGTTGGCAAGGAGTTCGAAAACTGCTTCGACCTTATCGTGCAAGGATCCACCGACGAGGTTGCTGATCTGGTGAAGCTGAAGCACTGGGAGGATTCCACTCCTTATGAGATGTTGCCAGAGCCTGTCTTCGGGTCCAAGCACAGCTCAGACGAGGAGTCCGAGGCCGAGCGCGAGCCCAGCACCGTCGCCGTCGTTATCAACTCGACCCCAAAGAAGCGTCCTCGTAGCGATACCGGCCTGTTCACTCCTTCCTCCAGCCATGACGAGAAGCCACCAGCCAAGAAGCTTGCCAACCCCGCCAGTCGCGGTCGCAACCTCAATGACGTTCTCAAGGCCAGCAAAACAACAGCACCGGCCAAGCCTGCCCGCAAGAAAGCCACTGCTACAGGAACTAAGAAGGCTAAGGCTGAACCAGCCAAGACAGCAAAGATCACAACCTTCAGCCGCGTCACCAAGGCCTCCAAACCTGCAGCCACAACAGAAAAGAAGACCGTCAATGGGAAACCTATGCGTCCTCTCCCAGCCGGCGCCGCGCGCGCCAACGGCCTCCTCTTCCCAAACCTCAAGAAACCCGGCGTCGACGCACCCGAGAACATCGACAAGGCCTTGCCCGAGATAGTCACCCCCTCTTCCTAAGTTTCAGCCTTTCTTCTTGTGACGATACATTCTTCTTCTCGGCACCGTTGCATGATGCATACTGCAGACAGGCGCGAGCTTTCCTACCCTTCTTCTTCTTTCTACCTTTTTTTTTTCATTCTACATTCCTGGGTCCCCCTTTTTAGCCACCCTTCCATGTTCTGGGAAGAGGTTGGCGCTTTCATCCGTCGCGAGATACCAACGATAGACTACGGTTCCGTTGCATGGGGTGGTGTTGGCGTTTACAGTCCTGAGTGGCCGTTGTTTTTTTAGGAATCATTTGTTTTATTCTATCGCATACATGTGCGTGTGGTGTCTGAAAGTCTTGTGATGGGTTAACTCATGGGATTTTTCCCTCTGTCTGAATAAATGGCTTGGATACTCGATCTATTTTTTTTCTCCCCTCCGTAAAGTGCACTTGCAGCATGATGTGGACTCACTTGCAGTGATGATTACTCTTTGACTGTACAGGGTGTGCGCATTGCAATCTTGAGATGGAATGTTTGTCCTTCGTGGCGCCGATTTTCCTCCAAAACAGCCGGTCAGCTGGGGCCTTGCTGGGGAAGTCATGGCCATGCAGGAACGAGATCTGGCCGCAGGCTACAAAAAGCGTGAGCTCGGCATCACCTGGCAAAACTTGACCGTCGACGTCCTTTCAGCAGAAGCCTCCGTCAAGGAGAACTTCAGATCGGATATGGTTAGACGGGCATGATATATCTATATTTTGTCTATCTACCATTCGACCATCTGACATATACGCCTTGAGAGTCAAGTAAATAAACATATCTGAAAGGATGAACAACCAAGTTGTTAAGTCGGGCAATGTGTTCGTCCACCTAGGCATTTTCAACATATACTAATTCATTGCCACCCGCTTCCCTTCAGTCTACATTTGTACAATACGAAGGCATTCGAATCCTCCAGGGCTCCAAACCCCGGTGTATGCTCGGGCTCCAACATGAATCCACTCAGAATTTTGATTATTGTACAACAAGCGACCAAACCCAACTCCCAATTCGCAACCGGGCACCATTCAAGGCCCAGAAGCAACCAGCTAGACCTTTGTATGTTTTTAACCCAACCCAAGATCATTATGCAACTGACTACCCGGACCATCCTCATCATCCGTCTCATCAGCGTCCGGATCCATAGGCCTAGACCCTCCATCCAAATCCTCAACCCGATCAATATCATCCTCAACCCTCTTCTCCTCCTCTTCCTCCTCATCCTCCTCCTCACCCTCTTCCTCACCCTCTTCTTCCTCAAGTTCCTCCTCCTGCGTTTCATCTCCATCTCCATCTCCATCTCCATCTCGACCGTCTCCTCCAATAACAACCTCAACATTATCATCCCGCTTCACCTTCTTCGCGGGGTTCTCCGTCATCTCGACATCTTCGTCATCGCCCTTCGCAGCACCAGCGGGGGCGTCGCCATTGACGTCGGATTTCTTGACCTTGCGCTTGCCGGCTTTGATCTCAGTGAATGCTTCGAGTTCTTGCTCGAGGCGGGCGCGGAAGGAGTCGAATTCGAGTTCTGTGAGCGCGCTGAATACATCTGTTGGGGCGACGGTGCGTTTTAGGGTTGCGTCGTTGGCGCTGGGTTGTATCAGTTTCATATTCTCATCCCATGGGATTGTAGTAGGTAGGAGGGAGTGTGGTATCATACTGCGATGAGAGGTAAGAGATGAAGACGGTGGCTGCCTTCTGGATAGCGAGCACAGCGTCCTTTTGGATAGTCGTATTGGGCGGGAGCACCGCTTTAGCGAGGCGGATTGTCAGGGAGCGAGGGAGAAGGTAGTCCTATACACGAGCATTAGCATTAGCTTTGGATTTCACTTCCATTTTTTCATGATCATTCTATCTCGAGATTGAATCTGTAGCGGGGATCAAAGAGGTCGTCACTTACATCGACGCTTACGCCGGCCTCTGCCCGTGCCTTGATCTGCTGCTCTGTCGCTGTGATGGGCTTGTCGGTCGTCTGCTGTGGTGACATTTGCAGGGAGTCGCCTTCCTCGGCGGGCGTCATTGACGCCGTGGACTTGCGCGGAGGCATGGTAGGCGTGGTCGTGGTCGTGGTCGTGGCCGAGTGTGGGAATCTTTTGTCGACGATGGACACCGCTATGCGGTTGGTTGTTGAATTTGTTCACTAGGATAGGCTGTTGGCAATTGAACTCGACCAGGGAAAAAGGGGTTAGGCCCTGATATAGATTCAAGGTGGAGGGACAATGGCAAGTGGTTGATAGGGTGGCGGGAGTTGGAGAACGCGAAATCCGCGTCGCGGGTTGGGATGCGCGCGGTGTGGGGGGCTTGGCTTTGCTCCTTGCAGTCGACTACTTTGATTATTTGAATTCTACAATTCTTTCGAAGTGGATAAACTTGAAATTCTGTACTCATTGATTTCGCTGTCTTTAGAGTATTGACAAATGCAGGGAAATTAAAAGATCCGACATATAACGCCCACTTTTTGGTATCAACGACAACTGATGCCTTCGTAACAGGTCTATAGAAAGCTTTACTCAGCCATAACCTCATCGTCACCCTCGCCGTTGCCCCAAAGGCCCTCAATCTGGAATTCCTTGGCCCATTGTGTGACGACCTGGGTGGTGTCGGCGCCGGTGCCGGCAGCGGCGGTGGAGGTCGCTGCATTGCCTGTATTAACAGCCAGGACGGGGGCATTAGCCCAGCCCTGGATACGGCCATCTCTCCAGTCGTTGATAACCGTCATGGCGGCACTCTCGACGTTGGGGACACCGCCCTTTCCGAGACGACCGCACTTGCGGGCTACCTGGATGAGGAAGTCGGTGGTCTTGTCACCGTTGTTGCCGGGGAAGAGGGTGTGGATGCCGTAGAGCTGGAGCATCTTGGTAAGCAGGCTCTCCGAGGCGGAAAGACGCTTCACCAGAAGGTTGACTGCGGGGATGGGGTCCTCGATCTGCTTGGGGGGGATGGCGTTGAGCAGGATAAGGCGGGCCTGCTCGTTCTCCTTGGACTTCTTGCCAGTCTTGCCGTTGGCGGTGGGGAAGACAATACCGGGAGAGTCGATCAGCTTGAGCTTGTTGTCGAGCTTGACCTCGCGCATGTTGGTAGTCACACCGGCCTCAGCGCCGGTGGGGCAGGCATTGCTGGAGCCCTTGTTGAGACGTGCGGTCAGAGCATTAATCACAGAGGACTTGCCGACGTTGGGGTATCCAATGACACCAACAGAAATAGAACGCTTCAACTGCTTGCTGTGGGCGTAGGTCTTGAGGGCACGGAACAGAGTATCCGAAGTACCCTTGATGGTCAATTGCTTGTGGTCAAAGCTGTGTGTGTTGCCGGCACCGTTGGATGCCTTGAGGGGCAGAGTAGGGAAGTAACGGCGCAGGTGCACCAACCAAGCCTTCAGGACGGGCGGGGGAATGAGATCAATCTTGTTCAGAATGAGAATCAATCGCTTGGAGCCAGCATCGGCGGCCATGATCTCGCGCTCAATCTCCTTCGACCGAGTACCCTCGGGGTCGCGAGCGTCGAGAACGTACAGCACAACGTCCGCAGCCTCGGTGACGTTCTTGAAGACCTTGTCGAACTGGCGTCTTGAGCTCTCCTTGGGGCGAGTAGTCAGCTCAGGAGCCTCGCCGTCGCCACTCTCGTCGTCGTCCTCATCCATCTCATCATCCTCATCCTCGTCCATCTCGTCTTCCTCGCTCTCGTCCTCGTATTCCGCAGCCCGGGCACGAGCAGAGGCGAGAAGTGCAGCCATGGGGTTCGACTCCTCGCCATCCTCATCCATGTTATCGTCCAAGAGGTCGTTCTCGTTGATGTCGACACCAGTGTCGCCACCCTGAGCCTTTCTGGCCTCCTCGCGACGGGCACGAGCCTCATCTTTGATGCGCTGCACCTCCTCAACCTTCAAGCGCTTCTTCTCCTCGATCTCGTGGAGGAGCTTGTCCTTGAAAGGGAAAAGGTTGGGGATACCCGGGTCCTTCTTAAGCTTAGAGCGCCATTCTGGGTTCTGTAGAAACGAGAGTCAGTGCCAATTCAATTTCACAAGTTTCGATGATCTGGGTAAATACCTTCTTGGCCTGCTTCTTCGCCTTCTTTTGCTTGGCGACAGAGGCCTTCTCAATCTTGTGCCTAAGGCGGACGGGCACCCGCTTAGAAGTCTTTCCAAATCCTGCAAAATAGTCAGTACCGTTTTAAATTATAAGAAAGAGTTTTCTCAGTGGTGTGCAGTCGTACCGTTCTTAACCATTTTGCCTGCACGTCACTGGAGTTAAAGACGAGAGGGTGCACAGGTTTCTCCGATGCTCCGCAAAGTTGATTTCGAAAAAGTTGAGCGCCAAGATTTCGATAAGCGGATTAACTGTTTTGGCCGATCGCCGATCAGGGCGGGCGGAGCACTTACGCCTTTGAGTACCGCAACCGCCTATTGAAGCTTTGTCGCCTTCACGTTTCTCTTCCTTTTCTTTCCTTTATAGACTTTCTTATTTTCTCTTCTTCACTCCTAGAGACTCATTCGCTTCCTATAATTTTGCTCGCTCAGACTTGCGACTTTTTCTTCTCAATTAGAATACCTGACCACACCTCGCCGGACCCTCTCCCCCACCATGACTATCACACCGGGAACATTCTCCGCACCGGCAGAGGTGCAAACCTTCGACGGCGTCCTTTCTGACTTTGATGGAACGATTGTGGACTCTACAGATGGTATGCGCTCGCTTCCGACCCTATCAGCCCCTACGCGACGACCTGGGGAGCATTGTTAGCTGACACACTACATCTCGCAGCGATTGTCAAGCACTGGCACTTGTTAGTGAACACCGAGCTCAAGAAGACCACCAAGAACCTCCATCTAACATGTATCTAGAATCGGTGCCGAGCTGGGCGTTGACCCCGAAGTAATCCTGGCCACTTCGCATGGCCGCAGAAGCATCGACACCATGGCATTATACGACAAGAGCAAGGCCAACTGGGAGTGTACGTTTCCCCTCCCCAATCTGCTGCGAACAAACCTAACAGTCTTGAAAACAGACGTCAAGTTCATCGAAGGCCGCATCCCGAAAGAATTCGGCTCCGACGCCAAAGAAATCCCTGGCGGCCGTGACATGCTCGCCGCCCTCCAATCCTCCGGCGCAAAATGGGGCGTCGTCACCTCTGGCACCTTTGCCCTGGTCGACGGCTGGCTCGGTGTCCTCGATCTCCCGCACCCAGAGATGCTAGTTGTAGCCGAAGACGTGGAGCAAGGCAAGCCCGACCCGTGCTGTTACCTTCTTGGCCGGAAGAAGCTGGGCATTGAGTCATCGTCTGTTCTTGTGCTTGAGGACGCGCCTTCTGGTATCAAGGCGGGCAAGGCAGCCGGGTTTAAGGTGATTGCGCTGGCGACGACACACAAGCTGGAGCAGTTGAAGGAGGCTGGCGCGGATTGGATTGTTGAGGACTTGCGCAGTGTCTCGGTGAAGGGCGTTGTGGATGGGCGGGTCCAGATCGAGATTCAGAATGCGTTGCAATAGGTGCGGTCTTGTCTCTGGCTCTAGGCCTGGCTCTAGTTCTGCAGGGATCAGGGATTAAAGTGGGTGTTGCGGCTGGGACTAGAGTGCGAGAGTCGCACAGCATTGACAGGGTGCTTTTCATGAGATAAACGTGCGCATAGCTTCTGAATTCGCGGTTAGGCTGGACCCTGCTCGTTGGGATTTATTTTACTAGTACTTGATGTACTTCTGTCTTGGGGTGGTCTAGCCTCTAGAGGTTTTTTGTTGACAGCGTAACAAGCAAAGATGGGAGATACACATCACACCATAATGGAAAATTTCGCATCTGGTCATATTTACTCGACACGTTCGGGACAAGTTTCTAGGATCTGGTTTCCGAGTGCCGGCGCCAGAGCAGCAGCGTGCTGTTCTTTGATTTGATACATTGTCGCATAGACCTCATGCCAAGCTCCAGGCATTGATACATCCGATCCTACCCAGCACACTACCTAGCACCCAAAGATCCCAGCCTCGAAAGCTAATAGGCCGCCAAAAGGGAGACTGGCCCAAAATAGAGCATTGACTACGAAAGGCAAGAGCATCGCCCCAGCCAAGGATGTAACTCTATACCGAGCTGTACAGACGTGATGACAGCACCACATATTACAAGGAACCAGGATCGGCGAGGCTCGGATACCGTCACCTACGAGATGTGAGTGGCGGGCCCAGCCATCACAGTCCTTGCAGGGCGTGATCGCGCGCCCAGACAGGGTACATAGTAGGATATCCGCAACAGCCAGCCCACTCCGGTATTATGCGAACCAGAGTTCATGCACGTTTGCAACGATACATCCGGTTCGACCGAGTGGGAACAAAAATCCAACCCCGGAGGCTGAGATTCGGTCGTCCAGGCTCGGATCCGAGAGTGAAAAGTACAAGACAAGTTGAACCCGACAGGTGCAGATGCAGATGCTTGCAGCAACGGACAGAACGGACCCTCACGATGGAGATTAACCCGGCAATGAAGATCATCGTGCGGATCCCATTGGGTCGGCTGAGTGATACAGGTTCCTGGTCCTGCGGACGGGCGGGAGGTTCGAGCTTCCCCAATGGTCAGGATTCAGGTTTTTCTTCCCCTCCTGGGTGAAGAGTTGGTGTCATGTAAGGGGGGGGGGAAGGTGTTCAGTTGCATCCTGCGCACGGGTCGGAAGAGACGAGACGCTTGTAGACGCAGGCTTCTGATCATCAGTCAAGTGAGTCAGGGAGCTGGAGTCGAGGCCCCGTTGCTTGCCCTTCGCGATCGCCTCTGGCCCCAACGGCATGCGGGATGGCGAATGTGGCGGTACTGCAGGGCCATCACGTACAGTATGATGGGAGGGAGGGGTTGCTTTCTTTTGCCAGATTCAGATTTGGACCACATCATCGGGACGTGAATCGAACGGCGAGCCTGATTCTGACTCTGTGGATGCTACGATCCTGGCGCCGTGTGAGTGGCTGACCTGTTCAGATCTGCTCTGATCAGCTGGTTGCATACGAGGCATAGGCCCACAGGTTTGACAAATAGCTGCATAATGACCCCGGTCACGCACCGCCACAGGTGCGTATT